CAAACGTCTACTTTATAAGTGAGACCTGTGATTCAAAGAACATAGTGTGGAAATATATCATTGCAGTAAATTAACAACACATTGAGAGAAAAATAAAATTTCAACAAAATAAATAAATAAAATGCTCAATGTGCAATCGTTTAACAAAACTGCATTGTAACTTTGTAGATTACCATTTAACAATTAAAAATGCTGATAACGCAATACAACCCAGTGAGTCCATCATGTGACATCACCTGCCACAAAACTACGCCTCGAAAGGCTCTTGAACACTCTCCCTCTAAACACTTCTTGAACAAGGTCAGTTGTCCGTCACATCGAGATCATCATTGCCTCTCTGTACTGTGCGAGTGTGTTGTGGTGTGTCCCACTCACTAAACACTCACCAGACGGATGTTAACCAGGCTTTCAGCCCAGCTTGCTGGCTAAAAAGGTCACCAATTACCGTGGCACTCTCTTTCACCGCACTGTGTTCACATGATTTCATTCAAAAGGTTACATTCCACAAAGTAACGTGACATGGTATACCCACACAGACACTCTATGGGCGTATACAGGATCTACCATGTAACAAATCACAAACATAACTTTCACGAGTACTAATCAAAATATTTCAGATTTGTGAATAGTCAAGTTATTTCCCACTCAAAAGAGCATTGAGGCAGTGATAATCTTCAGTCCTGAGCCAATAGTGGGAATCCTCATCCCAATGGTGCGGACAATTTGTGAATGATGCGGAATATTTTTTCAAAGAGTTTATATGAAGTCTGATACTCTAGAAGGCACACAATCATAAAGATTTGGAGCATATAATGTTACCTATAAGTCAAATCAGAGAACATTGTGCAAGAATTGTGCTGGGGTTATCAGCTTTGTGATTAAGCAATTTTATCAGGGCACACCATGACAGCTCTCACCAACATGTAAGATGTTACACGGGAGGCATTTATCTGTGAATATTGATCCCTGTGTGACACAGAGGGCAAGCCATAATGGGCACGTTGGCATACAGAGCGCCCGGCAGCACACAGGGCCTTTGTGATGACACTGAAGACGGGAGTTCCCTGTGTTTTGACGAGCAAGGGATTAAGAAAGCACTTTCTACCCTTTAACTCGTTACAGACTTCACAACCAGAAACCCACCCACCCGCTCGATTCCCAGCTGCCTTTTCAAAACCCACGGCGGCTTTGAAAGGGGCCTCCGCTCTTGCACGCTCCTTTGCTCGCAGCCACAGCTCAGGCTGAGTGGTGCGGCCCTGCTATACGCGGGCCCCTTGTGTTCATAAGCCTCGTCGTGTTCACACGCATAATCTCTTAATGCCTTTTGAACCGACAGAGGGCTCATAACGTGGCGGGATTTTTTCGTGAGTGTACGAGCTCTCGGGAAAGCGCACAGTGGAAGCACTTTTAATTAAAAAAACGAAACAGAGGAGGAGGCCACTTGCTGAGATGGGGCTGGGAACTCTGTCAGCGATCATGACCTTAACTTCCCTCGCCACACCAAGACATCCCAGGCTCTGGTCTCTTTTTCATTTCCAAAAATTTATGTAAAAGTAAAAAAACAAACACTAAATGTATTCATTTACTCGGATGACATTCAATACACTCACGCTGCATTTTAGGTCTTATTTTACTCTGCAAATTATCAATATGCTAGAAACGTTTAAGGGAACTGGGAATAAATGAAAGAAAGAAAAAACACTTCACAGTTCCATAATGTAATGCCGGAGATGAAATATGACATCCATGTGATATTTTTCAAACTCTATTGTTCCTTAAAATAGATTCAAATTATTTCCACACGATGTTAGCCACACCAACCAACTTGCAGGGTGCAGAATAGTTTTATTTCCATATATGAATAAAGCCCATTTTAACCTTCTCCAACATTCTCAAATCACGTTATAAGTGCGCTTTCCTCCTTTGCGTGCCCTACCCCCCACCAACATTGTTCAGTGTTCCCCGTGTATCAGTTACAGTTGGCTGCCTCCACAACCCGGCCTCCTGTCCTCACCTCAAAACAGAACAACCTTCCAGAGCTAAGGACAGCACCCACCGTTGGCCCACACATCACGGGCAAAAGGGCGGCACTGCAACAACGGCTTCCTCACGCCACTGCTGGCGGAAGGGCCTCCACCGGAGCAAAGTCAATGGAGTATTTGGTCTACTCTTCCACGTTGAGCAGAAGTGGTGGAAGAGGTGGGCGAACCCACACGTTACCTCACCAAATGGAATCTGATGAAGTCCAGTGCGCTAACCATGACACCACCGCAGCTCCCATATCACAGCACTTGGCTCTAGATCTTGGGCTTATCTTCTGATGAACCCTTCTTGGGATGGGCTCTCTAGCTGCAAACATGCCTGTTTCGTACCACGTTAGGTTCTGCTTCCTCATGACTTCCCAACAGTTGAGTATGATGCGCCCATGAAAAAATACACGTGGGACAGTTTTTTGTAGCTAGTCACGTACGAATGTGCTTAGACTCTTTTCAACCTGTGAACGAGGACCCTTCCAGACCAATGAGGCAGTGTTGTTGATGTTGCGTAGAGCCCTTGATGTCAGAGACAGACCCTCACGAGGTCGACAGGAGAATTTGGGCCTCAGCCCAGCCACCTGTGCCGTCTCAGAAATTTTCCATTTTGACTCTTATTTCAAAAACTGTTTTTACATGAATAGCCAAAGCTAAGCATGTTCCTCGTCCGTAACACATTTTCTCTATACAATTTACCATACAAGCAAATATATACAATAAAGAACGTGTTACATAGGAGCCATTGATAACTATATGACCTTGATTGCGGGATGACCACGGACTCACGTTTGTTGCTGCTGAAAATCCTTTCCAACATACTTTGTTACTTTTTTGCTATAGTATTTCAAATTTGAACTAAGTGCTTTAACAATCTTGAATGTGTTTTGATGGAAATAATGCACACTGATAATACGCTTAAGAGCCAGAGTAAAGATTTCGTCAAGGTTATTTATGCGAAAAATCTATATAAATTTAATATAAGTGTGTATTGTTTTGCCCATGAAAACAGAAGGAATTGACATTACTGCCAGAGCCAAGTGGCCGAGAACGAGACGGGGCCAGTTTCCATTGCGAAAGTCCCACATTGTTTCCACTTCGTGCTGCCGATCTGTCTTATCCTGAAGCCTGACCATGCCTGTGTGGGGCTCAGGGCTCTGAGTGGCGAGAAGTGTTCGCCCACTCAATGCATCAAAATTGAACATGCAATTTTCACTACAGTATCGACATCGATCAGATTTTATCGTGTTAAAGTAAACAAAATGCATTCCATAGAAAAACTATCTACACGACCCAATACAATGACACACATCAACAGAACATCGACAGAAAAATGATGCTGACGAGTATGCGACTCCGAAACCCTCACAGTAAGTGGACGACACTAATGACGACGTTGAAGTAGCTAGAACGAGACAAACGGTGTCACCAATGTATCCATTGTACACACACAAAGACCCAGACACTCACGTTGCCACACACACCGCAGCCCTGTGTCGAACTTATTCTCTCGGGGTGGACAGGCGGCCGTGTGGTCTCTATTCAGACGAGGCATGCGGAAAACCATGCTCAATGGCTGCTCGCTGAGCGCAATGGAGACCACACGCATCCCTTCTCAATGCAGGTTTCGCTCGAGCAAAATCATCACACGCTGCACTCGGCTTCAACCCCAGAGGCACGATCTGTAGGAGAGCACCTATTAAGATCGGCACACGACGGGGTCGTGGTGTTAAGCGACACACGGGCCGTACGAGGATACCCGTGTGAAGGCAGGTAGAGAGCCCTGCTCGACCATTGATGGGGCGCTCCCAAGCCAGGGATCGAACCGGGAGGGATCTCAGCGCAGCTCACGAACACTCGGAATGACTCACTCTGTCCAACTATCCACCTCGATCACTCCCTCCCTCTCTCTGTCACTCACCCCCACCCAGCCTCCCTCTCTCTGTCACTCACCCCCACCCAGCCTCCCACTCTCTGTCACTCACCCCCACCCAGCCTCCCACTCTCTGTCACTCACCCCCACCCACCCAGCCTCCCTCTCTCTGTCACTCACCCCAACCCAGCCTCCCTCTCCCTGTCACTCACACCCACCCAGCCTCCCACTCTCTGTCACTCACCCCCACCCAGCCTCCCACTCTCTGTCACTCACCCCCACCCAGCCTCCCACTCTCTGTCACTCACCCCCACCCAGCCTCCCACTCTCTGTCACTCACCCCACCCAGCCTCCCTCTCTCTGTCACTCACCCCCACCCAGCCTCCCACTCTCTGTCACTCACCCCCACCCACCCAGCCTCCCTCTCTCTGTCACTCACCCCCACCCAGCCTCCCACTCTCTGTCACTCACCCCCACCCAGCCTCCCACTCTCTGTCACTCACCCCCACCCAGCCTCCCACTCTCTGTCACTCACCCCCACCCAGCCACCCACTCTCTGTCACTCACCCCCACCCAGCCTCCCACTTCTGTCACTCACCCCCACCCAGCCTCCCACTCTCTGTCACTCACCCCCACCCAGCCTCCCACTCTCTGTCACTCACCCCCACCCAGCCACCCACTCTCTGTCACTCACCCCCACCCAGCCTCCCACTCTCTGTCACTCACCCCCACCCAGCCTCCCTCTCTCTGTCACTCACCCCCACCCAGCCACCCACTCTCTGTCACTCACCCCCACCCAGCCACCCACTCTCTGTCACTCACCCCCACCCAGCCTCCCACTCTCTGTCACTCACCCCCACCCAGCCACCCACTCTCTGTCACTCACCCCCACGCAGCCACCCACTCTCTGTCACTCACCCCCACCCAGCCTCCCACTCTCTGTCACTCACCCCCACCCAGCCACCCACTCTCTGTCACTCACCCCCACCCAGCCACCCGCGCGCGCCGTGTCCCCCACGCGTGACGTCACGCGGAGGAGCGCTTTTCTGCGCGGAGCTGAGCGCCGCGCACTCAGTCTGCGGCGCCGCGCTCCCCGATCCGCGCTCTCTCCTCCGCGCTCTCTCGCGCTCTCACCTGTCGCATCAGCTCTGCAACATACGACTCTCGACTCCTTCGTCTCTTCTCGCCACTCGCTGCTCTGTTGCATCGTGCGCGGCGGACCGAGTCGCTCAAATTTATTGGTGGATTAAATTTCTCTCTGAATGTGAATTGCGTAGAAATGCACAAGCGCACTCCGGGAGCATGGCGACTTAATTCCTTTAGAGTTTGATTTTGGTCGTTCGTTGGTGTTACTTCGGTGAGGGTTTTTTTCAGTTCACTGCATCTCAACTCCGGTGTAATGAGAATCGTATTCATTGTGCACATCAGCAGCATCATCAGCAGCAGCAGCAGCATCAACTGCGCCTCGGTGTTGGAGTCTGCGAATAAGACAGGTAACGCGCGTGATTTGCCCCGGCTGTTATCCACTCAACGTCACTCACCCTGGGCTTTCTCACCCATGACTCACTCACTTAGGGCTCGCTCACGAACCCAGGGCTCACTCACTCATCCAAGGCTCACTCACCACGGGAACACTCACTCACCATGGACTTACCCAGAGGTCATTCACCCAGGACTCACCACGGAGATCACTCACTCATCCAGGGCTTACTCACCACGGGCTCATTCACACACGCAGAGCTCAATTACCCAGAACTTCACCGAGGGCTCACTCACCCACCCACTCACTCACCCACTCACCCACCCACTCACCCACCGACTCACCCACTCACCCACCCACTCACCCACCCATTCACCCACTCACCCACCCACCCACTCACCCACCCACCCACCCACTCACCCACCCACCCACCCACTCACCCACTCACCCACCCACTCACCCACTCACCCACCCACTCACCCACTCACCCACCCACTCACCCACTCACTCACTCACCCACCCACCCACTCACCCACCCACCCACTCACTCACCCAACCACCAAGGGTTCACAAAGGACTTACACGTGGCTCGCCCTCCCAAGCCGGGCTCACTCACCACTGCCCACTCATCACACGCGCAGGGCTAACTCGCTTATAACGGGCTTAGAGCTCATTCATCCAAACAGGACCCAGTCACCACGGCTCACTCAGGGGTCACACTCCCAGGATTCACTCACTCAAGACTGCAGGCAGAACACACAGAGACACACAGAGACACCTCGAGGCATGCAGGTACACGACGAAAACGTCCCCGCATCGACCTTTGCGCGGCGCGCGGTGTGCTGACGACGCTCGTCGACCCGAGGCCCTGCGCGTCGCCGTCTGGGTGGGTTGGGAGTCCGCGGGCACTCGGTGATGATGCCGCACGTTGCGCTTATCTCAGGGCCCCGGTGAAGAATCCGATCCGCGGGACGCGTCCACCGCTAACGAGCCCCAACTTAGCGGAGCCGGGAGAAATGCGCAGCTCCCAAACCGCACCACGCTCCGCGCGCCCGCTCTGAGCGCCGTCACCGAGGCAGCTGCGTCCCGCCGCTCGACGCTTGCGGACCGTGGCCGCACGCGCCACGGCCCCAGAAGATGTGACGCGCCGACGGGCTCCATCCGAAGCCGCGTCCCGAGCTGGAACCCCATGCCAGCCTTGGGATGCGTCTGAGTCCCGTGCGTTCATCTTCAGCCCGTGACTCCGGCAAACCGATCACAACCACCGGCGGCACAGGCGGCGGCAACAGCATCAGCATCATCCGCAGCAGCCGCCGCCGGGGTTCGCCCGCGGCTCAAGGCTCCGCACGGCTCCAGCCAGAGTTGTCTCTTTCGCTCCGCCCGCGTGACCCGACGAGCGCTTGACTATGCGTGTGCGGCTGCTTCCCTTGGCGTTCATCCTTCTCAACGTCGGCGACTACATGCAGGGCCAGCGGTTGCCGGTCAGGGCGCGGAGACAGACGCGCAGTGAGTACCCAAGCCTGGGCGCCGTGCGTGCTGCGCACGCGTGCGGCACGCTGTGGTGGTGGTTGTGTTGTGTTGTGGTTGTGTTGTGGTTGTGTTGTGGTTGTGTTGTGGTTGTGTTGTGGTTGTGTTGTGGTTGTGTTGTGGTGCGTGTGTGTGGTGTGGAGCATCTGGATGTGGTGAGCATGAGTGTGTGTGGCATGCTGTGCGTCTAACGTGTTTGTCTCCATGTGTATGGGGTATGTGTGTAGTTGTGTTGTGGATGTGCGTGTGTGTAATATGTGTGGAGTATCTGTGTGGTGCGCTCATGGTGGGAGGGTGTAGAAAGTGAGTATTTTTTGTGCGGTGTATGTTGTCGTGTCGGGGATTAGGGAGCAGGAGTGTAGCGGTTGTCGCGCTGCGCTCAAAATCCGCGTTCGATTCCTGCTCACGGTCAACACCAGTGACAATTATCTGAACCAGTCCTGGGCCTCCACTAAGTCGACTCAGCCTCAAATGAGTACCTGGTGCGGTGTGTAAATGTCGCCACTAGGGAGACAAAGGCGGCCGGGCGTGGTGCTGGCTGCCGTTCCGACCTTCATCGGTGCTCTCTCCAGCACTTGCCCCAAACGTTTGTGAAGGCAATAAGGGGGGGGGTCTGTCTTTATCTTGTTGTGGATGTGTGTGGGGTGTGTGGTGTGTGTGCTCGGGTAGAACCACAGACATGGACAGGCACACACATCCCACGGCACCGAATAGGCAACTCCAATTACAGCAAGACCCATCGGTTCGAATATACACGGAACAGGGTCAGGGCACTCTCGCTCCCATCAGCAGCAGCAGCACAGGGTACAGAGACACATGAGCACGCAGCACATCGACGTGAGGTATATAGCTGAGATATTGAGTCCGACGGCGATGGGTAAGCGATGGCAGACGGCGGAGTCTTGAACTGAAGCCGCCCTGTAACTGAAGGCAGATGCATAGCAAAGCTGGTGCGGTCTGCAGTGCGGTCAAGTGCTGAGTCGGGGTTCATCGAGGCAGGCGGTGAGTGCGCAGTGAGCCCAGAGCGGCGCAGCAGCAGCGGCGACTCTGGCCCCAAGTGCGACTCTGGCATCGCGAATGCTCGTGAAGGGGGATGCTGAGCTTGGACGCGGGTTTGCTGCATCGCGCACAGATCGCCATTCGCGAGACACCTGGGGCGGAAGGGCTGCGAGGTGCCCTTCAGAAGGCAGTGCACCAAGTGGGCTCCTGACTGTTTCTTGCAAATAGTTGTTGCTGTCCCCGAGTGCACGTGGATGTTCTCTTGAGACTATATTTGAAAAAAAACTAATTTGCAATTGTGCATCGGTTCTGCAACAGGACCCTGTTGAAAACGGGTCTTGAGCCTCAATCGAGGCTTTCGTGTGCAAGGATGCATTTTCTTTTCGACGTGAAAAGATTTCGCGCGGAAAAAAAACTCCGTTAAGATGGAACACCCAGTTCGCAACGGTCCCGGGTGCCAATTGCCCCAGAGCAGTGGCAGCCCGCTCCGGTGACGTCGAGCCGCTGGCATCGGAGCTCACCCTCTTCGCTTCCCAGTGTGTCCGAGCGCACATCGCGTCCTTTTCTGGCACCCAGATGCGTCTCTCTCTCTCTCGCACCTGCTTCGCGTGATGTTTAACAGAACACCGATGCGTGCACCCAGGACTGGAATGCGCTGCGCTCACACGAGACCCTCTCAAAGCAACCTGCGAGTCAGCTAGTAGCTGTGTTCCACACAGCATTGGATTCGAGGGTAATCGTAGGGAGAATGGAGTCTACGCGCATCTCCTTTGGTGAATGTGACGTGACCAGAGGTGAGGTGATCCGGCTCGGGGCCTCAGTAGTCGGCCTCGTGGCTCGCAAGCAGCAGGATGCGAGCCCACGTCTGGATGGGGATTGACTCCTCCTCTGTCGATACAGTGAGCATCGCTTTATAAGGAAGTCAACAGTGGTTATCCAGAGGAATGTGGAATTTCCATCTCAGGTTGAGGGCTGTACACAGGAGATTAACACCGCTTCAGTCCCAACATGAGCACGAAATACCTCTGACTGTTGACTAGAGGTGCGGGAGGTTAACAAACTTCGTGCTGTGTATCGAATTGATGATTTGTTACCACTGTTTAAAACTTCATTCTAAAGTATACTTACATGCTATTTTTCACTGATGCATTGTTAATATTCAAAAGCTGTGGCTAGTAAGCTCTTACCAAGTTCCACGGAATAACCCAGCGGATTGTCGGAAGCGGCATTCACAATGCGCAGTCTGGCAGTCAGGAAGGTAACGGCGCTTCCCTGCAATGTCCTGCCCACCCCACTGCTTGCGAACTCTAGAGCGTATTTAGTCTACTCTTCCACCTTGACTAGACGTGCTGGAAGAGGTGGGCATACCCCGACTTAACCTCATCACACGCGTCCTGCCAATCGATTCTGGTGTACAGTAATCATCACACTGCTGGGTTGACAAGAGGCAGGGGGGGTTTAATAAACCTTTTCCATTGTTTAAACTGCCCCACCGGGAGACGCCATCGAACTTGTGATCGCTGGTCTCTAAGTGCAGTGTGCCAACCCTCGCACGACGACGGCTGCGTGCGGTGACACGGCAGTACCGTAACTCGCCAAGCGCGTTGCCTTCGCGGCACGGCTGTGCTCCCTCTGGCCGGTCAGCGGTGCCGGCATTCCGTAGCTCCGCTCACCCACGAGCACCAGAGGCTCACCATGGCACACGTGGCCCCATGTACGAAGGAGGCACTCCGAGTAACTCGCCAATGTGTTTCTTTTGTTTAAACTCCTAGAGCCATAAAAGAAGACGTCACGTGGCCCAGAGCTCTTTTCGCAATATATTACAGTAGGTCCATACCAAGCCACCAATTAAACATTGAACTAATTGATTTCCTAGCAGCGGATGCTCACTGCTAACAACCACAGCATTGTCAGATGTTATGACAACACATTTGTGTTCATGTTCCCCACCTACAACGACTGAATCAGATATGATGCAGCTAAGCAAATGTGAGACATTAACGACGGAATGCGCCCCACTTCCTGTACCAGCGACGAGACAGGTGTGGGTGACGATTTGATGATGGCATGGAGTCATTACCGGGGTGACTGTGCAGGCAAATTTCCACAGAATACCTTTTCCACTGAAATATCATCACTGAATCTTATGAAAAATCAAAATTCTGTAGATTTCCTTTAAACCTGCAATGTTTTAGCCACTTTGAATATAAGCTCAACTTTGAGAAAATATGTTAATATGTCTGCAGATAACAATTCAACCTGTCTAAGGCTGTTGGCAGTCTGAATACGTTAATGGAGCCAGACACATTGGACCTGGACTGAATTCGCAAATGCCTTCCAGGGACAACTATGGGGAGCATTGAGAAATCCTTTGCAGACCATTGTGTCACTTGATAGCATTTTCTACAAAAAAAAATACGGTTTGTAATGAAATATTATTTCTATGTTTATTTCTACATGGTATAACAGTTGCGAAATATATGTGGAAAACAGGAAATTAATGTTGCAACACATCGTGTACAATTTAACATGTGCTACAAACGTATTGAATTTAAATTGTTAATGTTTTAAATTCACTGAGGAATTTTCACCTTGGAAAATCGATGTTTACACACCATTTTTATTGTATTTAACACGAATAAAGGTACAGAAACAAATTCTGGACCCAGTTTTTCGATGTTACAGCCAACTTTAGCAATGCCAATTTAACCGAATCGCAATAGAAGAGATTATTTATTAAAATATTTGCATAAAATATTCCTGATATAAACTCTTCCGAAACCCTTGATGCCAGAACAATTTTATACTAATTCTTCGGCACATTTACAAAAAGTAAACACGTCTAAGTTAATCTTAGCAGCAGATAGGGACTCGGGATATTTTGGTGTATTTTTTTTCAAAAGCCAAAGTGTCCAAGCTGAACATAACATGGGGCTGACCTGAATGTTACCTCCGCGCGTCCAACCGTCCATTCCATGACTTGCACATCTCCGACACCACGCGTGCTCAACCGCATTAGTGTGAGTTGCGTGCAAAACTATTCGGCGTTCCATGAAATCTATTGGCCATGCTCGACATAGGCCCTCTGACAAACTCTATTTTGCTCGTTGGACACGTGGAGTGGAGCTAATTCGACCCCCTCTACGGCTGGTCCCGAGAGTGGTGATATGCGCGAACTTTGCCATGTGGTTTCTAAACGTCTCCGAATTGACAGGCTGTTTAAACAGTGACAAGTCCAATGGCCTATGCCTGCAGAGATAACGCTGTAAACGCAAGCAGATAAGCATGTTCAGTGAATCGCAAACAAATACACAGCCATAATAACAATATTCAGTTCAAGTCAAACACCCCCCGAATGTTTAATAAATCGAGCTATCGTTTATATCATTTTCATCACAAGTGTTGTCTACAAGCACAGCAGAGACTCCGCGCCCTAATTATATTGTGAGTTCATGACAGCCAGAAACTTGAGTTATGTTTAAAAGCTATTCATGCTGAGACCGGATAAACAGAAAAAGGAAAACTTGGCTCCCTGCCTGACCCAGAACCAGAGGGCCTCTCGGGGCTTGTTGGTGAAGGAACAGGGTTCCTCCCCCAAGCCTGCACGCAAACATCAAGACCCCGTCCACACGCAGAGACCGGCAAGCAGCCTACGGACGGAACCCGGCCTTCCATTTAAGTGCCTCTGCACATGGGCTTTCATGCCTGGCTGGGTCAGCCTTGCGGTGGAGGTCTTGACCCACCTCTGGGAGGAGAGGTGGAGCCCATGGAAGTCAGAGTCTTGCATCGTAGCGCATTGCGCTGCGGCAGTTATCCATTCTCTTGTTTACTGCCAGTGAACTCTTAATCATGTAGTCATCCATTGCCAGAAAGCACACATGCCACACCCTTACAAATTTACTGTAAGTAGTAGTGTAATCTGTGGGTCTTGGTGGTTATGTCTTTGTGTTAAGTGATATGCCCATGTGTTGTAACGTTCTTGTTAAGTGGTTGAGACACTTTGGCACATGAGAAATATATGTTACATATATATCCAGCGCTACCGAATACCAAGGATTTAATTTTACAAAAATCTGTTAAAGATTTAGTTTGTTTTACGGATTATGATAATACAAATATGTTGCTGAATTGTTGGTGTATCTTTACAGTTGTGTATTTGCACATTGGTACTCTTCTCACAGCGTTTAGCGACAATGACTTTGTAAGAGAGTTATCGAATGAGCGCGTGTCAAAAGCAATGACTGAGTTCAATTCTTGGTCATGGATAATATCAGTGGCGAACAGTATCTGAAAGTTGTCCTGGGCCTCCGTCAGGTCAATTCAGACTTAAATAAGTAGCTTGTGCAATGTACTGTATAAACACCATCACTTGGAAGACTTAGGCAGTCAGGGGTGGTCTGGCAACACCACTCCCTCATGTATCATGTCAGCCTCAATACGAGCTTGCTACCAACACTTGTGCCTTACGTTTCGCACTTGCACGTGCAACATCAGTCTTCGTATATGTGTGTGTGTATATACACGTGTATGTGTGCTTACATATATGTGTTAATGTGTGTGTGAATTGGATGGGGAGCGGTAGTGCAGCGGTTAATGCGCTATGCTATGAACCCGGTAACCCGAGTTTGATTCCCGCTCACAGTTAACATCTGTGACGAATATCTCAACTTATCCTGGGCCTCTCCGAGGTTAACTAAGTCTTAAATACCTGGTGCAGAGTGTAAAACATCAGCACTAGGGAGACAAAGGCTGACGGGCGTGATGTTGGCCGCACCACCACTGCCCTCTTCGTGTGCCGTGCTGCCTTAACAGCCACTCTGCGAACAGCACTTGCCCCAACAGTCTGCTAAGGATATACGATCTATGCGAATTGGACATGCTAGATTTGTGTGCAGCTTGTAATCACCAACACCTCAGAGGAATTCACACAACAGACAATATGCGTTCCCCTCAATGTTTGTTTCCCAGGAAGGAAAATGTGCGTCTCCCAGGGAGTAATATTTGAAAATATCGGTTCCCCTTTTGAACATTTCTACCCCATCACTTAGTACAGTAACATTTATGGTAAAGCGTAACATTTATTTAACCCATGCCCCTAATTCAGGGGTGCAAATACGCATGGGGAGCAAATGTTCGCTGAAAGGAAGTAACATTTGTTCCCTTGAAGGGAAAAAAATTCTCCCAGGGGAACAAATATTCACCAAATATTTATTTAAAAGTTTCAAATCAAGATCAAATATTTATTAATATATTCACCAAATGTCTGTTTAAATAGTCACTGAATATGTCTTGGAAGCACATGTATATATATATTTGGGGGGAGCAAATACTAGGATAAATATTTGTTTACATTGGGTTCAAGCAGCAACATATGCTGGACGACGCGGTGGCGTAACAGCGAATGTGAGTCCATGTCTTTGACAAAAGGACTGCCTGCAGAAGGCGATCTGTCCGCTGATTATGCGGGCTGCACTGCTTTTAAAAAAGTACTGGGGTATCTCTCTTTCCTCCGTATTCTGGGAAACGTCCTGGTAAGGATTATTCAACATCGCCTTGCCAGGCACGCTGAGGAGAGGCTTGCGGGACCCCCATGCGGTTTCAAGCCGGTGCAGTGCTGAACGGATGCCGTATTCTCCATCTGTCTGCTACGACAGACGCGAAGGGAATATCCACGAGATCTACATCACTGCTTTTTTGACATACATTCGACCTATTATAGCGTCATTGGGTTGTTCATTGTCCTGTGATAATGAAGGTCCTTTATGATGGGGAGCAGTCCCCGGTAAAACTCCGTAGCCAGAAGTCCGAGCCGTTCCCTTGTTCATGTTGAGGTACGACAGGGATGCCCTCTTGCCCCGACACTACTTTTTGACCATGTAGTCGAGAAACCTCCCCTGGCTGTAATTATCTCCATCTGTTTCATATACGATGGAAGGCTGATCGATGCTCAGGTGTTGTCAATGGCTTCCTACTGGTCATCCATGGCATTTATACTGATGATCTAGTACTGTAATTGCTGCTTATTCTGAGTTGGAAACTCTCCTGCTGAACCTGAAGCTTACCTTACCATCAACTACACCAAAATAAAACAGCACCATGGGTACTTTATGTCATCGAACAGTTCACTCGCCCAACTCTCTATGAGTAATGGAGTGGTTATGGAGAAGATGAAGGAGTTTATGTGCTTGGGCCACGTGCTCATGGCCATCTCTGGTTTGGCAGCAGACATCTTACTCCAAGGTGGTGCATCTGCTAATCAACTTAATCTGTTAACCCATAACACCTAGGCCTGTCCAATGACCTGCCATGCAGGTTTAGACGTGTCCTCAAAATAAACATAATCAGAAACAGATATCACTGAGTGATGAATGCGGTTTGTTGCTGTGTGCATGCATGAGTGGATATGTATATGTGTATACGTACGAGTGTGTATGTGTGTCTACTTGAATGTGGATATGAACACGCATGTATTTGTGTGAACTTATTCGACACCGTACGTAGCCAACCGTGCTAATCGGATGTGTGGGGTATATATGAGTGTACGTGCCCATATGTGCATACATGCATTTCTGTGTCCGCATGTGTATGTGTGGTCGGTTGTGTGCGTATGTCTGTGTCTGTGCGTGTCCCTGCCGCGTGTGCAGTGGCGTGTCCCAAAGGCTGCCTCACATGCTCCGAGCCCAACGGCTGCATCAACTGCCTCCCGCGCTACTTCTTCTTCCTGGAGCGGCAGGGCATGCACGAGATGGGCAGCTGCCTGCCGTCCTGCCCCGCCGGCTACTTTGGGGTGCGGCGCCCCGACGGGAACGTCAGCGTGTGCCAGAGTGAGTAACAGCCGTGCAGGCACGCGACGTGACCACACGGCTCTCCCTATGACCGCTCACGTCGGCAATTGCTGTCGGGACCATTGCACGAAAGGCACCACGCGCCGGTAAATTTGCAGAGAATGTCTCCACTTTGTACGAAGTGTGTTTTCCATTTTGCGGTCGCTTGTTTTACTGTAATGTTTAATCAAAGCAACCGTACCCTTTACCGCCCCTGAACGTGGTTGTAGGCATATGGCTATAATTAGGGCACTCCAATTGGGGAATAGCAGAACAGTCGATTTGATTGTGGTAATTAACGCTGGTGGGAACTTGGGCTCTCAGGAAGAGTTTGGCTGATCACAGAAATCACAGCCGGGGTCGGCGCAATCGACAAAACTTCACGGATTAGCCACGGCACAGCCGAGGCTCCACCCTCACTCCGTCACGCCTCATCTCGATAATTGTGATCTCCGTGCACGTGGTTGTGAGGCAGCTGAACGCAACGGAGCCTGCTGCAATGAGTGCCCTTGGAATAACCAACACACTGATAAACAGAGCAAGTGTATAGCCAATGCTAAAGGCAAATGTAGAATGGCCCTGCCTGCGCTTGCAATGGATGCTAGAAAGGTCAATGGTCTGTGCACAAAAGAGGTCACAGAGAGGGGGTTTTGAGCTGTTTTCCAATGTAACCTCCACTCAACTCTGCATGCTCACTCGACTCTGTTGCTCACTCGACTCTGCATGCTCACTCGACTCTGCATGCTCACTCGACTCTCACTCGACTCTGCATGCTCACTCGACTCTGATTGCTCACTCGACTCTGCATGCTCACTCGACTCTCACTCGACTCTGATTGCTCACTCGACTCTGATTGCTCACTCGACTCTGCATGCTCACTCGACTCTGATTGCTCACTCGACTCTGCATGCTCACTCGACTCTGAATGCTCACTCGACTCTGATTGCTCACTCGACTCTGCATGCTCACTCGACTCTGCATGCTCACTCGACTCTGATTGCTCACTCGACTCTGCATGCTCACTCGACTCTGCATGCTCACTCGACTCTGCATGCTCACTCGACTCTGATTGCTCACTCGACTCTGCATGCTCACTCGACTCTGATTGCTCACTCGACTCTGCATGCTCACTCGACTCTGCATGCTCACTCGACTCTGCATGCTCACTCGACTCGGATTGCTCACTCGACTCTGCATGCTCACTCGACTCTGCATGCTCACTCGACTCTGCATGCTCACTCGACTCTCACTCGACTCTGATTGCTCACTCGACTCTGATTGCTCACTCGACTCTGCATGCTCACTCGACTCTGATTGCTCACTCGACTCTGCATGCTCACTCGACTCTCACTCGACTCTGATTGCTCACTCGACTCTGATTGCTCACTCGACTCTGCATGCTCACTCGACTCTGATTGCTCACTCGACTCTGCATGCTCACTCGACTCTGAATGCTCACTCGACTCTGATTGCTCACTCGACTCTGCATGCTCACTCGACTCTGCATGCTCACTCGACTCTGATTGCTCACTCGACTCTGCATGTTCACTCGACTCTGATTGCTCACTCGACTCTGCATGCTCACTCGACTCTGCATGCTCACTCGACTCTGATTGCTCACTCGACTCTGCATGTTCACTCGACTCTGCATGCTCACTCGACTCTGATTGCTCACTCGACTCTGAATGCTCACTCGACTCTGCATGCTCACTCGACTCTGCATGCTCACTCGACTCTGATTGCTCACTCGACTCTGAATGCTCACTCGACTCTGCATGCTCACTCGACTCTGCATGCTCACTCGACTCTGATTGCTCACTCGACTCTGATTGCTCACTCGACTCTGCATGCTCACTCGACTCTGCATGCTCACTCGACTCTGATTGCTCACTCGACTCTGCATGCTCACTCGACTGATTGCTCACTCGACTCTGCATGCTCACTCGACTCGGATTGCTCACTCGACTCTGATTGCTCACTCGACTCTGCATGCTCACTCGACTCTGCATGCTCACTCGACTCTGATTGCTCACTCGACTCTGCATGCTCACTCGACTCTGATTGCTCACTCGACTCTGATTGCTCACTCGACTCTGATTGCTCACTCGACTCTGATTGCTCACTCGACTCTGATTGCTCACTCGACTCTGCATGCTCACTCGACTCTGCATGCTCACTCGACTCTGATTGCTCACTCGACTCTGATTGCTCACTCGACTCTGATTGCTCACTCGACTCTGATTGCTCACTCGACTCTGATTGCTCACTCGACTCTGCATGCTCACTCGACTCTGCATGCTCACTCGACTCTGATTGCTCACTCGACTCTGATTGCTCACTCGACTCTGATTGCTCACTCGACTCTGATTGCTCACTCGACTCTGATTGCTCACTCGACTCTGATTGCTCACTCGACTCTGATTGCTCACTCGACTCTGCATGCTCACTCGACTCTAATTGCTCACTCGACTCTGATTGCTCACGCGACTCTGATTGCAGGTGTGTTTACCTTGCTTTATCTCCATATATTGCTCCGATGCAGCATCGCTGTCTTTAATGACATGTATATTTGTGTAAGCATATGAATTATGAATATATTCTAAGTTTTAGCATATAATTGTGGTCATGTAATGTGGTAGTGTGAATAAATACTTTGGAAAAAATGGAAATAAATTAAGTAAATATAGAAATAAATAAAATGTGCTAAGTGCAAGGCCAACTTCCTCACCCAATATTCCCTCGTAATATTAAGACAACCTTTGTGTAGTATATTCGACGTGTCAAAATACAGCAGTGATTTCCTGCTCAAATAAGCATTGAGTTGGTGCTCATCCCATAGTTACAGTCCTGTCAGTGGTGGAGATCTATGACAAGGACAAGTCAAAAGGACAAGTCACCAAAGGACAGCCCCCGTTGATCTCCCCACGAAGTGGTAATAATTGTATTGATCTGGAGGAACAATGGGCTGAGTCATCACCTAAGCAAGATGGAAACTCGCAACCTTCCGCGTGCAAGCCGCTAGCTCTACCGCTGGGCCTGGCTCCATTACACCTCGCACGCCAGAACTCCAAGAACACCCTTAACGAGGCTTTCGCCCGGACAGGGTGCCGCCTCGAAAACTGCGACACCTGTTTTGCAAAGAACTTCTGCACCAAGTGCCGCGCGGGCTTCTACCTGCACAAGGGCAAGTGCCACAACGCCTGCCCGCGTGGCTTCAGCGCCGTCAACCAGGGCATGGAGTGCACCAGCACCGGTGAGCCTGCCCCACCTCGAGCCGCGCCGATTTGGCGGATTTACCGCACGATCAGCCAAACCCAAGGAAAACCAAACACACACACAGGGGCTCGAATGCAGCACAGATAAAACTCCACCAGCACCACCGCCACCAAAAACGCACATTTGTAACTCGGCCACAACGCAACGTCTCGGAGCCCGGGAATACAGAGGAGCGAATGGAATGGAGAGGATGAGGGCAGAACAGAGGCGAGCAGGGGGGTGGTCGGCATGAGGTTGAAGAGGAAGGTTTGAGGAGAGACTTGAAAGCAGAGAGAGGGGACCAAGTGGAATTGCCTGGGGAGGGAATTCCAGAGGGTGGGGGTTTAATGGCTAAAGGAACGACCACCAATGGTGGAGCAGTAAATCCTGGGGACAAGGAGGAGGCCAGAGTGTTGAGCAGAAGGAGCAGAGGGAGCTGCTGGGACATGTGGCTGGAGGAGGGGCAAGGCCGTGGTTGTATCTGAACGTGAGGACATGGATCACCACCATCGATAACACGACCTCACAGCTGACGAACATACCTCGACTCACGTGCTTGCACAAAGGCCCCTTTTTGCTGTGCATTACAATGATACAAGTTCTTGTGCACAAAATGTTTTGTTGATTTTGCCAACACTTATTTGCTGAAGGATCATGCCCATAAGGCATTACTGTGAGTGGCGAGAAGTTATTGTTCGATGTTTGTTTGAGCGCTTGCCAATGCTTTATGTTTGATTTCACTTTGGATGACAGATTCGTATCGCTTATTGCCAAAATGTCCGACAGAGCAATGGTTGTCCCAATTTAAATTATCGGCAGCTTTTATATTTTTATCTGCATGGCTTTTTTTCTCACATTTATTCCGACCGGCTGCTGATTCATAGCAGAGATCTCCGATATATGATCAGTCGACCTTGTGATGAAGGATGCCCCAGTCAGCGACAAATCACAGCATGTGGCCACGTGTGTTTAGCTCTACAAGCGATGTGTGGCGCGTTGCAACCCCTTGAGCTGTGTAACTGTGCCACTGTGACTACGTACTCAAACAGCAATCGCAGCACAGCGGGAGGTCATTGATTCCAAGCCTAAGAACAGTTCGCAAATGTGCAATGAATTACAGAGCAGTGTCATCACTGAAATACAACATCTGTAGTTCCTGGTTTAACCATATCAAAGGGCAAGTGGATAAAAGTGGATGACTAATATTTGCAATAATAATAGCAGGGCACGCATACCGTTCTACAAGTTTGGAATTTAGCCCTTCTGAAAGCATCGTTTGGCTGTGCTTTTGGAAAAAGCAGTCACGTTTTAAGGGACAACATGCTTTTTCCTTGTAAGTCCAAACGATACGAATAAAGAGCAAATCCACTAAAGTAAACTGTAAGAATTCGTGCATTTGATAATAATCCGTTGTGCTCTGCAGCATCTCTATTTGGCTCATCAGAATACAAAACAACAATTTTCATGTTTTGACATTCACAACTGCCAATTTGTCTATATGTCCAAGACTCAAAATAACAGTGCGACAGATATGTATATGCCAATACGGCGAGTTTTGCTAAACTAAACTCCTTTCCAAAGAGCAAACAAACCACAGAATCAATATAACACAGTAATTGAGTTTCTTAGAAGCATGCGACTTTTTTAAACGTTTTCTTGCTCGTTGGAAGTTTATACTGATGTACATTTGTAAGCCATGCTCTTCAAATCTGTCCAATTTTTTTTAAGTTGCAAAAACATCTTTTACTTCTTTCCTGTGAATCATGTGGTGCATTCCTGCGGCATATGGTGGTGCTTGTGTTTTTTTATTTTATTTGTGAATGGCTACATACACAACCAGTCTGAGCTTGTAAACAGACACACACACACAGGAGACTACCAATAACAAAGGGCCATGTAATAATGGGCAAAGCGAAACAACTTTGGCTTCAGCTGCAGTTACCACCCATGTCAGGCTTCTGGGCTCAGCAGAATGTGATTTGTCACCACAATGAACATCAGGAATATATCTCTTGGCGCAGAATGGCCGAATGCAGAAATGTGCAGTGAGAGTATCATTCCTCTCTCCTTAATCCAAGTCACTTTTGACACACAGGGATTGACACACAGGGATTGACACACAGGGATTGACACACAGGGATTGACACACAGGGATTGGCACACAGGGATTGGCACTGGTCTGCAGAAGCGTCCAGTGGTCAGATTGTTTCATGTGGAGAGGATGAGAGTGCACTTCGCTACTTTACACCATGGGAACTCTATTTGCTATGAAGAAGGGTCATTGCCCAAAACGTTGCCTATGATGTGTAGTATTTTCTTTATAGGGCCGCATCATTGACGAAGGTGTTGAGATTTTGATTTGTGCAAATGCACCACTGCCAACGCAGTATCACCAATACTTGAACAATAGTTCCTTGTTGAATAGCATCAAATGAAGTAGTTATCCATGTTGAATGCTGCATGGTGTTAATAACAAAATAAGTCCGATTTATAGGGCACACATCTAGTGCGAGTGACTCACCTGGTCTGTTACTGCCCTCTGCAGTCTCTTTTGTGTCACTGCGGAGCTAAAACAGGATTTTACAAAAAAAATCGAAAGCATAATACAATTTTGTCAGTATCATTCAACACTTTTTACGTAAAAAGTGTTGGCTTTCATCAGTGGCTCGACACACACTCTATTGTTATGGGGTTTAAAATAGATGTCATCCATCTTTTGAAGGCATTGGTAGAAAAAATATAATTTATTGCACTGCGTGTGTAAAAAAATGAATACGGTTTAGGCTTTTGCGACCAATATCATCCATAAGAGGTGTTTGGGTTAGATCGCGTAAATATATAAATGTGTCGTTAAAACCCGCCACCACCCGACGCAGCCAACTAGTAAGGGTTGTCACGTAAACAGAACGTGGCCAATTCGTCACTAGTGCAGCACACCGGTGTGTTGGAGAGCCAAGCCACAACATTTACAATCTGAGTACGACGTTTCGCCAGTAATTACAACTAGCTTCATCAGGTGACAGCTAGATTTGTGGAGAAGTCCATCTTTTTTGTTCCTTATATAGAGGCGTAGATGTGGTGACCACGCTTCTGCGCTCTTGCACAATGTGGGGGGTGGGGGGGGGTTACTGAGGCAACGTACATTATGCATGTGCATTAATGCGAGCCCTTTGAACTTGTCCTTCCTGTCTATTGTGTTTATTAAAATAGCCGTAGCAACGGTAATCCCTATTGAAGTACGCTGCCCTGTGTAGGCATGTATTTAAATAATGTATTATTTGATTATTCGCTTCCACGCAGCACTAAGGCGGTAGCTATCCAAAAGGTTAAAGTTTTTTAGATTTCTTTAAATTTCGATAGATTCTCTAATTAGTCTTGGCCATTAGTAGCTAGTTTTGCACAGAACTTCAACATTATCCAAATCAATTGAGTGTCCTTGTTGGCACGCGTGTTCTGCTACTGCTGACAGTAGCATTTGGGAGAATTTAATATTTCTCTGATATTCTTTTAGTCTCGTGCTGATCATTCGTCCCGTTTGCCCAACATAATAACATTTACCACACGTGCAGTCAATCCTCCGGTAATACATCTTTTGTACCAGATATTAAATTCTGCATTTTATGTACCGTGCCAAATCTGACTCGGATGTTTTGTTTTCCAAACATCTGGCTAATTTATCAGTTACTCCCGCAATATACGGTATTTTGATCGTTTTAATTACTCGGGCAGTGTCAAAGCTCTTGTTATTTGATTTGGAATAACAAAACCAAATCAAATAACAAAACCAAATCAAATAACAAGAGCATTGCAACTTGGCTGTGTCGGGTGGTGGCGGGTTTTAACGACACATTTATTTCTTTACGCAATCTAACCCAAAAACCTAGATTATGGAAAATTAATGCGTTATTAATAATAGGATAGAATAACTCAAATACAGTTTGGCCACCACCATGGGAATGTGGAATTCCGAGACTCAGCGCCACCAGAGAGGAGATGAGCAGCACCCGACGCCCGCTTGGGCAGAGAGATGCTCTGTGACTCGGCCAAGGGTGGAGCCCACAGACACAGGCGGGCTCTGGGAATGTGCTCCACAGAGCGAGTGACACACCTGGGTTCGGTGGTAAGTGGCAGTGGGAAGATTAATGCTCCCGAATGCATCATTGGCTGGACCACGAGGGTCTCGTGTCACAGCCGGCCTGGTGGTTTTGCAGCCGAGCAAGCGGCTCGCAATCGAAAGGTTGCGAGTTCACTTCCCAGAAGGGGGCTGATAAAAAGACAAACCCTTTGCGAGGGGAATCTAACAGTACTCTTTGGTTCTTTCGATAAAGTCACGTAGGTAGAAAATATTAAATAAATTAAATCACGACGTTTTGATTGCAACACAAGCAATTATCATCATGTGTTGCAATCGAAACGCCGTGATTTAACTTATTTCATATTTTATACCTACGTGACTTTACCGAAAGAACCAAAGAGTATGGATTCCTGCAGTCTTGAAAACTTCAAATCTAGAATGAATCTAACAGTTGTTGTCTTGTGAGTAGACTCACCCCCGCCATAAGAATGTTGAATTTCCACCATTGGCTAAGGGCTGCGAAGAGAAGATGAGCAGCACCTGAACGCACACATGAGCTCAAAATCACCTTGACTGCGAGTGTCACAGCATCCGCACGCACATCAGCGCTGTGTAATTAGCTCCGCACGTCAACACAGGGAACTAAACGAGCGTGCCCTGTCGCCCGGCAGAGGAGTCCCATCAGCGGCACCCCACCCCGGCGCTGGCGGCGTGCGAGCTGGGGCCGTGGGGCGACTGGGGCCCGTGCCTGAAGAACGGCCGTCCGTGCGGCGCCAAGTGGGGCCAGGAGGCGCGCACTCGCTCCGGGTCCGACCCCGCGCAGCGCGCCGCCGCCGCCGCCGCCGCTGCGCCTGGCGGGGGGGACGCCTGCCAGGACAGCCGAGAGACGCGGCGCTGCCGGCTGAAGAAGCGGCACTGTCCCGACGGTACGATCACACGTCGCCTCCTCCACCTCCACGGGGTGGACGTGGGGGAGGGGGCCTCCTCCACCTCCACGGGTTGGACGTGGGGGAGGGGGCCTCCTCCACCTCCACGGGGTGGACGTGGGGGAGGGGGCCTCCTCCACCTCCACGGGGTGGACGTGGGGGAGGGGGCCTCCTCCACCTCCACGGGGTGGACGTGGGGGAGGGGGCCTCCTCCACCTCCACGGGGTGGACGTGGGGGAGGGGGCCTCCTCCACCTCCACGGGGTGGACGTGGGGGAGGGGGCCTCCTCCACCTCCACGGGGTGGACGTGGGGGAGGGGGCCTCCTCCACCTCCACGGGTAGACGTGGGGGAGGGGGCCTCCTCCACCTCCACGGGGTGGACGTGGGGGAGGGGGCCTCCTCCACCTCCACGGGTGGACGTGGGGGAGGGGGCCTCCTCCACCTCCGCAACTCGTCGCTCGCGGGCACGGACCAAACGCTTCACTTGTTGGTTGCCACCCGAGAAAACAATACTTGAGCGGTGCCAAGGTTGTTAAGTTTAAATGCCAATGAAAGTGAATTGTGTCATATCCGCATGTAATAGGCATGCCATCAAATAGTCCACCGTTGTTCACCACGAATGGAAACCGGTGTTACGCAACATGTTCTACCACCCGTGGTACCGAATTCTGCGCTCTGGTCCCTTGGAATGCCGTCAACCGATTCTCTCTCCCTCGCCACTGCTGCCCCTGCCGTCTGCAACTCCCTCCGACTGGTAGTCCATGCTTGTCTCTCTGGTCAGGATCAAGATTAAGATCCCCATTCTTCTGCCAGTGCCTGGCTTTTCCCTCCATCCGTTCTCTTCACCGTCACCGAATCTTCATATATCTATCCTGCTCCTGCCACTCTCTCTGTACCGCGCCTCGGACTACGATCGCGTTTCGTCTTCATGGGACCAACGTGTAAGCGGCAAACGGAGCTGCATCATCAGGCGGTGGGCACCGGTGCGGGCGTGGAGGAGGCTCATTGAGGAACCGAAACACAGACGCGGAGCGTGTGGCTCGCAGCACTCGCGTGTGTGACATTCACACAACGCAGCCTTGCGTGGGACCAATATTCACCAGCGTCGCTGGGTTGTACGAGTGTGGCAGGGTGAATGAGTGTGAATGAAAGCAGTGACCCGAAAATGTGAACATTTGACAAGAGCATACAAACAAAAGAGAAGCATGCAGACATAAATTGAGAAAATGTAGATTTTTGGTTTATATTTAAATACAGTACAGTATAGAGAAAACTGTATACACACAGAAATAGAATGACTTTTAGACCGTAAGTGCAGCGAAAGAGAAAATAAACCATCTTTCACACAGAGATTCATGGGAGGTGGAGAACGCAATGAGAGAGATTATGGGGCTACAGTGAACGGGAGGCCAGTGAAGGACTTGGGGAGGGGTTGATTCATCGCAATGATGCAATGTGGTCCCCTTTTACGAGTTTGGGTGGGGAGCTGTGCATTAACCATCCCTATCATGCGACATTAATTGCACTGAAGACAGTCTTTCGTCAATGAAACTGAACGGAATGTGGAATTTCCATCAAAGGCTTGTCGCCTCCAACAGAGACGAGTGACTCACTCGTTTGAGAAGGGAAGCCATGTTACAAATTAAGCTGAACACCTGACCGGGAGCAACTGTGGTACAGAGAAGACCTGACGCACGCTCGCACTTGCGCAAATTGGTCTCAACGAGGGCGCTCCGGCGAGCCGACGGCCGACCGCCGTCAGCAGCAGCAGACGGCGGTCGTGCGAAGCGCACCAGCGACGGGCCCCGCAGTCCCAGCGACGGCTGGAATGCTGCTGCCGCCACTGCCGCTACTGCTGCTGCCACTACTACTACTGCTGCTGCCACTACTACTACTGCTGCTGCCACTGCTGCTGCTGCTGCCACTACTACTACTGCTGCTGCCACTACTACTACTGCTGCTGCCACTGCTGCTGCTGCTGCCGCTGCGGCTGCTGCGCACGTCCGCCCCGATCCATCAGGCGGCCGCGCGGGGATTAGCGCCGCCGCCGCCGCCATTGTCGTGCCTGATCCGCCGCTGTTATTCCACGCGGATGCAGCGGAGCCTCCACCCCCCCCGCAGTTCAAACAGCAACTGGGATGTCGCCGCCGCCGCCGCCGCTCTAAAACAACCCGTGCCGCAACGAGTCGCCGGATTGTAACGAGCCTGGGCGAAGACGTGAATCGACACCATTCTGCCCGCGCTGGCAAGGAATAACAGTTGGCATTTAAAGGGACGTGCCGTGTGCCAACGCCACCCCCAGCATGCGAATTGCTGCCAAGTTGGGGCTTGGATGGCTATACGCGATGTAAATTATAAAATGAGTGTGATATCAATCAGCTGTTTTGGAAATTAATACATTTCAAGCCATATTTGAACATGGATTCTTCAAACAAATGAGTAATGCGTGACTATCTACCATTGTCGTCCTCAGCTAGAGATGGAAATTCCAAATATTTCTGGCAGAGACCAGTCTTCATACAACAACCAGTATTGACTTCCCAGAAAGTGGTACTAATTTTACACACCCCGAATGGATGACATAATAAGTTTCCTCTCGCTGCGATTTGATTTTGTTGCCTTTCTATTCAGTGTCACATTCTCTAAAGCACTGTGCCACCTGGCACGCACTCCAGCTTTAGCGGTGATTCCAGGAGCCACTGAATGTAATGCAAATTGAATCCATGAAAGTGTAAAAAATACGTATCGGTGATAGGTGAAGAGATGTTCTATTTAAGTTCGATACGATGCCAACGTGTTGCAGAGTGGATGTTGTAGTAATTCGCCTGGATGTCTTGCTGAACTTTGCATATGCTTGGCAATGCACGGGAACGTGGAACAGTCCGTACTGGAAAATTCTGCTAAGCATATTTTTACGTGTCCACTCCATTCTCCAACAGCCTGAATGCACAAACTAAACAACACATTTCCAAAGCCATCGATTTCCGCATCTGGAAACTTTCCATGCTGATTACTCAGAAGCTGCCCCTATGACAATCAAGCACTGTGCCACGGCCTGCAAATATTAGACTTCAAAAAGCAACCAATTCCAGAGCAATCATAACACGACAGGATCTGACATTAAAATGTTGTATTGTTAAATAATGCCACGTTGCGTTACCCGTATAACGCATACGGTTAATGGATTGGGCAAGTCAGCTCAGTGAGCTTGTAATTGCAAGGTCGTGAGTTAAAACCCAAGTCTGGATTTTATGTCAATAAAATAAACAATTCCTGCGAGCGTCGTTTGATGGGTCGTAAACATTTCCACATGGCGCTCGTCAAGTGGTACTCATTTTTATCAACCTTGGAGAAATGAGAGAGGAGTCAGCCTCCAACGAGGATTTTAACTGGCAACATTCCAATCGCGAGACGCCCGCTCGACCGCCGAGTCATCTGGCCCAATACACAGCACGTGTACACACTCTGTCAACCTAGACAGCACGTGTACACACTCTGTCAACCTACACAGCACGTGTACACACTCTGTCAACCTACACACCACGTGTACACACTCTGTCAACCTACACAGCACGTGTACACACTCTGTCAACCTACACAGCACGTTTACACACTCTGTCAACCTACACAGCACGTGTACACACTCTGTCAACCTACAAAGCACGTGTACACACTCTGTCAACCTACACACCACGTGTACACACACTCAGTCAACCTAGATAACACGTGTACACACTATTGTCAACCTACACAGCACGTGTACACACACTCAGTCAACCTAGACAACACGTGTACACACTCTTGTCAACCTACACACCACGTGTACATACACTGTCAACCTACACAGCACGTGTACACACACTCAGTCAACATACACAGCACGTGTACACACACTCAGTCAACCTACACACCTTATTCTAGAGCAGGCTGCACGTGTAAACGCGTTGCTCGCTCGTTCGGGTTCGTGCCTGGTCGAGCAAGAATGCCATCTGCTCCCAGGCTGCTTCCATCTCCCTTACTTAGCAGCACCTGTCAACAACTTAATACCATGCATGACACTGAGGGGTAAAGCCCTTTTGCACGCAAACAAAAACAATGTTTCATTCTTTTTTAATACTTGTACAAAATAGTTTGTTAGCTTTTGATATGGCTTATGAATGTATTTTGTTGAACAATCGGATTGACGTTTTTAACTTCCTTTATTGCAGAAAAAAGAAAAAAAGAACCGGGACATCGGGATGCCAAAAATAAACCAATTAAAAAAAATCGGAAGAAGGACCGAGCAAAGCAACCACAGCGAGAAGCGCAGCCCACGGGCGCGAGCGGGCAGTGAGGGGGCGCGTGGGGCCGCACGGACAGGCACGGACTCGCGGTGCATGCGTCACTGCTAATGCTGGAATTGTTATTTAAGGCACTGTACAATTTGCATTGGGAATGCCACTGGGATGGAGAGTGAGAGCACAAAGGGAGCTTTTATTAAACCCGTTTATTTTATTACAATAACATCGCTTCTGATTGCACAGACTCGAGACTAAATGCAGTGGAATGAGCACGAAGAAAAAGCCGAGAAGACACAGTAGGGCAGTGTGCCATGAGTAAATAGCAGACAGAGGTCACGCACCTGATCTGTCGGCACCTCGCAATAACCGTGAGCAGCTTCTGCGATGACTGAACACGACCGTCTTAGCAGATCCATGCACTCTGCAAATGTGAAATGGAACAAGTGAGGTCTACTGCTGTGGGACGCTGCCCATTTCATGAATCGCTTGCGTGCCCGGTGTCTGCTTAATGCCGCACGCTTGGCTGTGCGTGGTTTTTGTCCGGGACAGCACTTTGACTTCACTGTTATTTGTCCAAGCGCAGCAGTCGATGGAGAGAGCGAACAAGGGCACGAGCTGGCGCAGAAGTCCACTTCCGTGACGCCGTGTGGGACAATGACTACCATTGCCAAATTGCTCGCAAATAAGGATTGTCATAATTCCCTTCCGGAATGCCAGTGTGTATCTTAATTAAATATTGTGAACTCAATAACCCGAGCAACACATTTCGATGACAGACGTCCGACAGAAATCTGGATCCGCTTGATGGACCACAGAGAATGCATTCCTTGGGAAACGTTATCAAGAGATCACAGGCGGAGCGCACGTTCCCGGATCAGACGTGCAGACAGACGCACACGCCCCTTGCTGCACCTGCTGCTGGTCCCAGACTCGCAGCGCAGCGAGGGGAGCGCGTGCGGAGGAGGGCTGAGCGAGAGCCAGCCACCAGAGTTCAAATAAACCCTGCGGTCGCGTTGATTTTTGCAAGAGAATAAACAATGTTATTATGTAAAGTATAAAAAAAAATGTACACTGCTAATTACTATTATCACAATGCAGATTTATTTTGAAGAGCAGTTTGTTTTTAGACGAGTTGTATATACATACAGTACACCGCGCAGGTACGTACAGCTGCAGAGACCACGTAACTAATGACGTTAACGTTTGGTCCCACGGATTAAAACAAATGTATTTTACAGGAAAAACCAAATGTGCAGGTTTTGGCTGAACCACCAATTTAAGCTGCAACTCGTGGATTGGAACTCCAATTAACGTATCTACCCTTGACACCAGTTTTGGTTGTTTTTCTGCCAAAATTGGTAAAAATCGGCTTCTTCCAAGACGTGAACATGACTCAACGTTTTCTTCAAACTTCAGTCTTTGTACTTTCCCCAAATTGCAAATTCTTGCTGACAATTTTACCCAATCCAAAAGTAAAATTAGGAAGTAATTGCAAAGAACCCATTGATTGTTCAACGTGGAAAGATTATGGAGACACAAAATTAAGCCCTAATAAATAGTAACGTCCCATTTTAGTTACAAATAGCATTGTAACTGATATATAAACTGTTGAGGATGACAGATGTAATTTATATAATACATTTATTATTTGCCTATCCGTATTACCAACTTCAAATCTGCTTTTTAATAGTTTAAAATAATTGCCAATGTGCCTTACTTTGACACCTGGCGCACATTATAACATTGCAAATATTATATGCACCATGTAAACACAATACTGAGCAAACCTTTGCCTGAGCTCGCAGAAGGTATACACTGGGCTACTTTTTAAACAATTCTAGTTAAATATACGAGGGGAATTTACAGGCAAGTATTACCTGACCCAAGGTTCATCATCACATTTTTGTAAACAGCTCTTGTAAAACAAAAGTGCAATAAAGTAACCAAAGTACAGTTTGAACCAAAACGAATGTGTGATTTTTACATCGGCAAGTTCAGTGTTTGTATGGTTTCGTTTTAAACACCCATTGTACAGGGGTGAATACCAATAAAAAAACAGATGTTATGCATAATGTCAATAAGTGTGCGCAAAGCCAATAACCAAACAGGGCATTGCCACTTGGCCATCCTTCAAAAAGGAGACGAATATCGGCTGCGGCCAGACCCACCTCACCGCACACCAAGGTCGTGACCTCTGTCCACTACCTTCACGTGAACGCGTGATGCTGGATTCTGCCAGAGGCAGACGGGGCACAAAGGGGAGTGAGTGCGAGCAGCTACTCTTTCTCTTTCCCAGCTAAACGATGCAGCCAACAAAACTAAATGTTGCTTTGTGATTACCAGGGATTTTTTTTATCACAGACTTACTACATTGAGCTATTTTTTACGATAAAGAATTGAGTCGCAACTACTTGACGTGCAGGTGCGCTGCCCGGAGGACCCTCGAGTGGCGTCACTGACGTCCTTCATTTCGCGCCTATGATTAGCACGGTTGGATACGTATGGTGCCAAATATGTTCAACATACATAAATACTTCACGAAGAGGCAGGTCTGCAATCATCCTGGTTCGGCTGCTTTCGAAATAATATTCGGTAATGATTTATTAATGCAGTCTGGATTGATAGAGCATCTCAATGTGACCACACCTTACGAACAACCATCATAATCTCTAGCATGTGTTCAACAGGTACTTTGAGATCATGCAAATGCATGTGCATATCTTATGTCCGTGGCTAATGAATGCTTTGTTGGAAATGCAGTTTAAACGAGCAACCGCCAAGCCAGACTGCCGTCGCGGCGAGGGCAACCCGCTGTAAGCCCTCTTCGACATTGCCACAGCCAATTACAGGGTCGATGTAAATCCAGACAACGCACACTAAGCTGCCTTTTGTGAAAGTGGAATTTGAACAAAGAGCTGCCCCCTTCACCAGGACAAAAGCTCCCAAAACACTGGTACCTCTTAAGCTGTCTGATGTCAAAGGAAATCAATCTTGGGAAAAGCAAGATTACGTGCAGCATAGATTATAGAATTAATCCACAGCCTGCGGATTATGAATACGGATCTGCATATCAATAACTCTTCACTGGCACAACTAGGCTTACAACTTTACCACTGCCTCCACCTAAGTGTGCACTAAATTTTGTGGTTCTTTCAAAGACGTAAAAAAATGTTTGCGATGACTAAAGCCAGTAATCCTGCTTATTGGCAGGTAATGTATGGTAAAAAAGACATGTTCACACTTGCTGCTTCAGTGTAGTTTACAAGCAAAGTAGATTGATTAAATGTACAATTTACATACAGAACAAGCACTGCTGAATCTGAGAAAATGGGCCTTCAAGAGAGTGCTCCCATGTTCACTTTGATATTTCTGGATAATATTGAATCGTAAATTAGAACGCGAAATTACCTAACGTATGTACGCTGGAATACTGCCATTATTCTTGATTTGCCACCCGACAGAACCATACAGCATTCACACAGAGCACTTTAAAGATGCAGACAGAACAGGATTTTAATCAAATTCACCAACAAGAGTTATAACAGACAAAAAGTCAGGTTTGCCAGCTTTCATTAAATGTTTATTATATCATTTTGACAAAATGTAAAACAAAACTATGACTTTTTTTTTACATTATAAAGCTTTGTTCCTAAACCACAGTCCTCAGCCTCCCGCTAGTTTAGCTTTGCCATGTTTAGTAATATACAGATGCACCATGCACCTTTATCCTTCACATAGCCATGAAGAGGACACTGATAAGAACGTGTCGGGGAGGCTCGAGGTCTGGAATTTAAGAGGCTCCATCAACCTTCGGTATGTCACGGCATTGCTATGCGAGTGCTAATTTAGCCAGGTTAATCAAAATCTAACCTCCTTGAAGGCCACTCATTACATGAAGCATGCAACCTTAATCTGTATAACATGGTTTGTTGAAACTCACCTTCAACTTTGAACTCACATTTTTTTTTAATATACACATTTACAATTGTATTTAAATGACAGCCAAATTCCAGTTTTTCTTTTATAAAGGCAAGTTGTATACAAAAGCTGGACCAATAGTTATCAGCTCACCCAATACCCACACACCATGGCCCTGCTCCTTACATCACATATTATGCATGTCACAAGTACCCTCTCTCATCTGCATGTGAATGAAGAGAATATGAGTATTGGACAACAGGTGGTAGACAAGGATGAGAGCAGAACCGGAGAACTATAGGTGCAGACCACTGGGGTTTGTTTGCAAAATACAAAGTGACTCTTTATAATTGCCTTTGTTTATGATGTTACGTTGCATAGGATCATGAAAGCGGTACCGGTGTTGTGAACGTCAGTACGTCCTAGGTCAACCCAAGGTTTAAAATTGCAAGATTCTCAAATACCACCCTGAAGAGCCTTGTTGTTAAATGCAATAATCTGACAGATAAAGACAAATCTCGCCAGACAGTGTACAGCATAAACTCTATGCAGATGTTTAAATATAATGCGTTACGTTAGGCACTTGCACTGTATCTGAGGACTCATATGCAAAAATAATTAACAAAATTAGTATTCAGTGCATCGGTGGATTAGTATACTGACACATTTGCATCTGATTGAGCAAAATAATTACAAACGATATCATAATGCTGTTAATAAGTTAGAATGTAAAATGTCCACTTTTAAACATTATCCAGTGGGAAAATAAATGTATTATGAAGCAATGCTATGTTTAAACTTGTAATCGTTTCACATTTCCTCTGTGGGACTTTCCACAATGAAGCATGATCCTCCTCCACTTCCTCTGCTCTTTCAGCATTCTTCCTACGGACACACTCACTCCCATCTTTTTGATGGGCTTTCCCTACGACGCCTCTTCCATCACACATCCCTTGGGTGATTATCTTTAAGCCACTGTTGCCTCTTCTTCAGGGATCCCTTGGCTGTTTGTCATTCTTCGAGTGCTGCCTCATTTGTCCTCTTTGCCACTCAGTGAATGGGCAGCATGCCCCTGTATCGTTTGAATTTATACTTGATACAATAACATTCGGAAGAGTAGGCTAGTTTAGTAAAATAAATGAGAAAATAATCCTAAAATACACTTACTAGGAAGTTAAGTCATACCACATCTATCCACTGCTTTATGAAGGCCTCTGCCAACACCATCCTTCATGGCCTTGTGAACCACCAATCTATGTTGACTCCTACATGTGAGCTAATCTCATCGCTCCATCTCCATCATGGTCACCCTGTCGGGTATCTTGTCGTCTTTCCCTTCCAGCACATTTGGCTGCCAATCTAGCAATGTGCCCAAGCCCATTTACTTTCCTTGACAGTCAATTTGACTCTCATTTGCTTGTGGTCTCTGAACCACGTCTTCCTGTCTCTCCATGCAATTCCCAGCAAACATCTCTACATGCCGATGCACTTTTCATTTTTTGATAAAATTTTCTTTGTCAGTGTACACATCTACGATTCATGTCACAGTGGGTAATGTGCACCGATTTAAACTATTTAGCCACAGGAAAGGCCATTTGAGAACTGTGTTTATTAAAACTGTAAAAGTGGCTACCCTAGCCACTGTATTATAATTAAAAAAACAATGCCGTGAAATTATCTTTTTAATTTTGCGTCGATTTTTTCCATCACACATTGAATTGTTTGGATTTGCGTGTATCAACTAATTAAATGTGTAAAAGGCAGATTGTATGGATGACTTATGGATTTAAATACATCTGCAGATGTATTTCTGCTTGTTCGTATTTTCTGAGCAACACGCTCGGTCAGCAGCATTGCAGTTAAACAGAGGCTCTCTGCCACGAGGCATCTCCAGGCTCCACCAGGGGGCCCCACAGCACCCTCCACGACTCCACAACACGGATATTAGCATTGTAGCAAAGGCATTAACATTCACATAGTGCAATTCAAGGGTTGTTTGAATTCCAAAAATGAGTAGCGTATCGAGGAGTGTGTTATATCTCAGGAGGTATACGTACAATCGCGGCACGTTATATCCAAGTCATGCCAATGGCACATTTCATCTAGACAATACATAGAAAAAAGTTAACCCATTCCATCATTTGAAAGTGTGTTTTAATGTGATTTGTGATTTTTTGTTAACGTAAGGCATGCCTATAAAAGCAAGCATATATACTGTATTGGTATTTTGAACTCGATCGGCCTTGTAATGGCTTGCCATGTTACGGCACTGTAGAGGTTGTCATTTATTATTGTCATTATCATTTGGTGAAATCATTAATCATTCATCGCCCAGAATGACCATGGAAGTTAAAATGGAGCCATGGCCTGGGAAATGTAGTAACAGCATTTTTTAAACGTTAACAGTTGCATTGTTTAGTACTATTTGTATGGTGAGCGCAACATGTTGTAGTACAGTACAAAATGTACCCCTTTAAACTCATTATGAACTTCTAATGATGAGTACATACTAAAATACAACACTAAGTGTAACTCGCTATCACTGCATGAGTCATTAAACCCCTCTCATGCATTATTAAGCACAGATTGTAAACTGTAGTTACTCTGTAATGCTAGTATGTAGCTCAAGTGACGTTAACGTTTTAATGACCAACTCCAACCCTCCCGTCCATTCTCAAGGGTAATCCTGATGGTAATGAGCTGGACATGGGACTTCAGTCACACACCACACAGGGTCAAGTCTTTGCCAATACTGCCATTGCAGCCCTAGTTTAGAGAGCAGTGTGCTGTAGACAGTAGACATTTTCATGTGAACATTTTATACGAGATGTATTAAAATATAAAGTGTGAAAAACACATGTTTTACTTGCCAATTTGGTGACAATGACTTGCTGTGGGTTTTGTTAAATAATAACTAAGACACTTTATCTAAAATGTATATTTTGAATACTATGGTAATTTAATTTCACAGTATGAATAAAAAAATGCTGCAACATACAATTGTGTGTACGACACTAAATACATACATGCTATTAATTACACACACGCATTGTATGCAATTATCTGCCTCATGGCCTAAATCAGACTCCAGACCACGAGGAGTTGAGATATAAAATCCAACTGCAATGTACTGCAACCACATGCACACCAATACCTTCACTCACACTGCTAACCACACCCTCATGACATCTGAAAGTGCCACAAAGCGCCATAACGTACTGCTTTCATGTAAACTTTCACTGCTAAAAAAACATGTCAAAAGGACAAGGAGTTTGGCCAGATGACACTACAACAAAATCCTCAAAGACGTAGCAATATGCAATGGTGCAGTGTTCAGTGGTAAATAGTGCTGTGATTTTTATGCAAGGGAAAATGAAACAAGCCGTTCATAAATGCTCATGAGCTTATGACATAGACTTGTTTTGTATACGATAAATACTTGGTGTTGTTTCTATGGCAAAATTAAACTAAATAGAAGAATACAATGACAACAACAATGGAGATCCCAAATGAGATTATTAAAGCTGAGGCTGATTGTACATTCTGATCAAAGTCATGGCTGTTAACCATCAAGTACAGTGGGAATGCAGTGAAACTGTGTTTCTTAAAGACCTTTCATTTATTTCCTGTCAAGTAATATCTTGATTGGTATGCTTTCAATACTCGTGCCAAAATTGATATGAAATGTCCTTGTTTCAGAGGACAAAGGAATGATTAAATTGAGTTCTGGAAATGCATAAAAAAAACTGAACCAACTTGAATACTTCATGATGGGGGTAATTTAACTTGTATCTCATGAGAACAATTTGTAAGAGTACAATAACTGAACCACAACTTTTACATAAACGATTATGCATCACACATTTAAATGGAGACATATCTAGCAACACGTTTACATTATACACTATAAACTGTAACAACACAAACCTGGCGCTTTTTACTCAGTGAAGACTGTGTTCAAAGTACATTGTGGTGGTGTGTTTTCCTGCCTTGCAGGCCCTCAAAGGTTGTTGGGATAGCACATGTTTTCAGATGTGCTTACAATTTCATAAAAATGCAACAAATCCAACATAAATTGTTATTCACTCAATTGCAAAATATTTACGAGGTGAGTACATACATACATAGAACGGCACATTAATCTGAATGTGGAAGTGGTGACATTACGACTCGCATCCACCTGCAACCCCTACATACACACACCGGATGTTGCGCACCATTACCCTCTAGCGGACAGCGTCAGTACTGCAGCCCTTCTACTGACGACTTGGTACACTTCAATCATTACTTAAGGTCTGGACAGGAGGGTGGCACAGTGCCAGAGTACTTCGCCCCCAACAAGAAGGTTGCGGGATCATATTCCAGTTGGGAGTCTTCTTAGCCAATAATTCCTCCACGTTTGATAAAATATGTACTCTGTAAGAAGTCAACAGGAATGTGGAACACTGGCTCAAGACCACCAGTGTGAAGGGCATGCCTCAGTGTTAACTTCAGTGTTTCAATGCGGTAATATTTATAAAGATGAGCAATGAATGTTTACAACTTGCAATAAATAAAAATAGCACGTTACATAATGTTAATTTCTGCAATTGAAACACCAGAATATATATGTTACAATTGCAGCAATTAACTTCTGCTTGGTTAAGTGTAATAGTTCAAATGTACATCAATATTATGTGAGGCCAATATTAACAAAGGTCGAATTTCTCAAAGATCTCAAACAAACTGAGTGTTTACAGGTCCAAGGACCAGACAACAGATGTGGCACATACTCTGAAGAGCGAACATTTCCATGCGTTTGACATTAACAAGAAAAAAGTATAAAATGCAAGAGAAATAAAAATGTAAACTGTACGCAACAGTGTTTGTACCAATTTCATGAGCGATTTAAGAGATGACATTTGTTTTCATAAGGAAAGGGCTGCCAAATGTTTCTCATACAGAAGTCTGCTTCGGATGGATCATAATTTACATTTTTATTTCACAAGGGCCAAATCAATAAGCCGCGAGGCTACTGGTACAGCATTTTTCAATTCCATTACTCGTAAATTATTTAAATATAATGTAGCCACCGCAATATGGGTTGGTAACATGGAGTGTAATGTGATTAAACACTGGCTTTCAGATTAATTAAACTACTGCATTCATTGTGGAGATAAGCTCATTTGAGTAAAATAAAATGTGCCAAAAAATCAGGAAAAGCATAACAAAGCATTCACAATAATGCACAGCCAAGAACTAAAACTATAATTTTTACATTATATGCTATATTTTCTTCTTCAGCCTAACATAAGCTGCGCAATTTATCAAGAGGCTTGCAATATTGTTTTCATTGTAGTTTTAGAACCAGTATCAAGCATACTTTACTTGATGCATTCATTACAACACATCCACACATCAACAAATCACATTCCAAATGTCACCTTTAAAATGTGAATAAGAGAGCTCCATTCCAATGACTGTTTCACCTGAAAGCATTACATCAATCATCGAGCAGCATCACTCAATGCCCCGGACTCAAACCTGCAGCATGAGGAGAGGGGGCAGCGGATTCTGCCTCAAGGCAACGCTGCGACCCAGGCCCAGCCCAGCAGCGTCCCATACAGCCAGGTCCTCCAGTAGACGGAGCGCCCCGTCTCCGTGAGCAGCATGGGCAGAGTGAGCGTGGCCAGGAACACGGCCGATGGCAGCGTACGGCGAAGGCGCAGGCGGGAGGCCTTGGGGCTGCCGGGGAAGCCCCACTCGCCTCCCTTCGTGGCCGCTCGCTCGTAAAAGTCAGCCATCAGCCTGCGGGGGGGGGGGGGGGGGGGGGGGATGGCGAGGCAGTTGACGGCATGCCCATGCCCGTAAGGATTCCGGCTCGTGGCAGTTGAGGCAGCGGGTTTTATGCGACCCGATTGGCCAGGGTGGTCAGGGCCCTCGCCACCGAGTACGAATTGAGGCAATCAAATTGTTTACAAGCAGGAGAGAACATCAATGATTCACACGTGATGCCACGCATTAAAAAGGAGACGATCCTAAATCCCACAGCTCCCTCGTAAGTTCACTGGGGAATTGCCATGGCATGTCATGTTTTGTAAAATATCATTAGAAAATTCCCAGTAGCAATCATCAATCAGACAGGGAGGACATTGTGTACAGTACTAATGCTTGTACACCACCTACGTTTTAAAAAAAAGACATTTGTCAACATACATTGAAAACAATCCATCCCAATTAATTAGGAAAAGAGTAAATGGTTCTATAATTTATGAGGCTTCCCTATAAATGGAACAATTACTCTGAATGGGTTAAGATCATCTTAAACATTGGATATCGATTTAATCAAGTCCATAACAATGTATATCATCTTATTATGATGTCTAAACAGCAGAGATTTAACACATATTATGCACACAGGCTAATGTATATGGCTGCATCCGTTATACAAGCAGCATGGTGGTTACGTGACATGCAAGGCATGATGGGAAGACTGATCATATGGCCTTTTGCTGATAAGAAATTACTCGTGGCTCTGTTGAGTGCAGCCGTGTCCTCTGAGCCCGCATACTTATCCTTCTTCTCAAAGCGCTCGTGCAGCCAGAGCTTGAAGAAATGAGGCTCGTGTGGCACTTCCTGGATGTCGATGCGCTCAAAGTGGATGTGGACACGCGGAGACTCGCAGCACAGGAACTCTGAATGCAAACGCATCGCGCAAACCACGCGCTGGCAGTCAAATCATCAACTTCTCATGATTAAAGGAAAGATCATTTTCCCAATTGTTCAATAAAGTCCTGTATCTGTGCAAGAAAATTGCTAAATTATATAACATCCATTTTTAATAAGATGAAAAATGTGAGTGACAAAACCTCAGAGCATCAAAACTTAAATTCGTCATGCAGTGGCATGTTCATAACATTATTTAAGGGAGTAATTTCACTCTGTACAGATAATTAAATTGACATTGTAAATACCTGACAAAGTAATAAAGACCAACATTACAATGTTATTACATGACTGCAACTACACAATTAAGCAATAAGTAAAATGTGAGCTCACAAGTAGCAAGTTACAAAAGCTACCTCTGATCTGCATTCATGTTTCGTGAGGTGGCCACCGTTACCCGATTAAAAACCGTGAGTATTAAGGGTCCTTGTTTTCCTGAGCACAATGGCGCCTTCACAAGCGCACATCTACAACTGCAGTGAACTTCCTGTGTGCCGGCGGTTGTGTGTGCTAACCGGGCATGCTGGGGGCTGTCTTGCGTCGCCCGGCGGCATCAAGCGTGCCCTCGTACGCCACGGTGATGTCGTATATAGCGTGCAAGTGGTCGCTCATGGCATTGAGGGCAGCGTGCGTGGCCCTGATACGCGGAGTCAGCACGTGGCTCAGCTCGGGCAAGCCTGCAAACATGGATTGCTGCCTCATCACCGACTCACGGCACCACCTGCAATCACAATCTCTTCAGGTACTAGAGAAGCGATTGTGATGAACAAGGGCAAATTGGTACGCAATGGCATTGAGTGACAATTAAAACAATGTTTCGTGTAAAGTGTTTGATTTACAATGATTGGTTTATATAACACACAGCCATGAAAGTCTTGCGACCTCTGTCTGCGATCTGTTTGGAAAATGCCAAACCAATTTACCACAAGGGAGAACAGCAATCAGATGTGTTCAAATTCTGGCAGAAAAAGGTGTACAATAGAAAGTGGTGCAGTGACTCCTGCTGGTGATGACTTCTAGTGTATCAAGGACTTCATGGCAATAAGCACCAAAGCAGTGTCTCCCTGCTCAAAGAAAAATAAGGTAACACTCAGAGCCGTAGACTGTCCGGAGCCAGCAGTGGAATTTCCACATTCCAGTCGAGGGAAATACTCTCTCCTTAAGACTACTAATATTCACTTTAAACACAGTTATATTAATTTTATAAACTCAGAAAGGAACGTAATGATGATGTGTGAAGTAAAAAATTGAATGGGATTTGAACTCTCAACCTTCCAAATTAGTCAGGTCCCCGACCCTCAACTCTACCAAGCTGAATTTAAATGTAGGCACATAAATGAGAAAGCTGAAATATAAGCATTACAGTCATTGTACTGTCAGGTCATTAAAACTGAAAAAAAATAATGAACAATTGGAGGATATTTAGAGAACACTGATATCGCAGAGACATTTTGAATTGCGTCTCTTTAAGTTATGCAGAATGACTCACCTTCCTTGTTTGCAAATGCTTTGCTGGCTTCAATAACATTTGCTGCCTCTGGGTTGTACCTAGTTCCTTCTGGGAAAATCACCAAGTACATCTGTGGAATCATAGTTGATGAACATCACAACAGCCTTTTTCTGCTGAACTGTACCATTCAATTAAGCACAGTTGTGCACTGACATGCAGTTAAAAAAGAAGAAAACTGGCAGTATGCATGAATTTTTTATGGTCGAAATGAAGGAAGTCCCAACATACGGAGCACTCAATATATTTCCAATGAGAGAAACTTGAGAGGAAATTTAAGTGGCTCATAATCATGCAGGACAGCTATTGATTACATGTAGTCTCTGCATATATCAACATAGCTGAAGCATGAGGCTACTTATTAATCTATTTCAGCGCATATATTAAGGATCTTACTTCATGAAAATTGCTCTCAGGGCAATTGCTACCAACCTTCCCCACGAACATTATTCATTGTATTCACTTCATATAAACATTGTCACCGGTCATCCTTATTCATATTTCACAATAGCCGAACATGCTGTTCCTAAACGCAATGTAGCCATAAACCTTAATGAGGTGCAAAATGATGCAAGCCACCCATAATAAAATAACATTTGCTAGACGATACGCGATTGCCAGACTTGATACTCCATAAGCTTAGATAGGCTGTATTAAAGCTAAACCGTAGAGTATGTGTTTTATATCCACTACCTCTTTAGCATGCTGCATACAACATTTCAACGATGTACAGCAGCACAAGGCTCACCGGGATTTGTGCCTCCATTTGAGCCTTCAGCTTCCTCTCGATGGCCTTCTCGTTGTAGTGGTCCCTGCGCTTCACGTAAACTCCGCCGTGCTGCAGGCACAACGGGGTGGCCTGTGAACCTCTCCATACCAAGCGTGAACATTTACACTTGCCCCGGTTCTTACTGTGCCATCCCGCAAGCCATGTCCAAGTGTCACGGCGTGATGGTGCCTCCAGAAGCCTCAACAGGACACGATGAATGTACTTGTAGGTTGCGTCCTTGTTACTATAGTTAAAAAACATTGAAGTGTATTTTTTAAATGCTATTCATGTTTACTCACTTCAGTATAAATTTATTTACCTATAAACGTAATTTCTGTCTGTGTGTGGTTGACTCTTGCGAGGGATTTGGCTCGCGAACCGTGGGGTGAGCCAGTGCTAATCCGATTTTGCGTCCGTCACCTATAATGTACTTTAATTAGCGAATTAGTGCAGTACTTTGTTATTTATTTATTGCGCCTCCCAACATGCCAATGCACACGCATCTGCGCATGCGCACCCCCAAGCGATGCGCATGGGTTCGGTGGGGGGGGGATTCTCATTCGCGTTAAAAATGCAACAAAAAAGCACACAAGACTGAGGTATATTCTTCAAAGTGTGATTTCCTCTTTCCCCCCCCCCCCCACCCCAATGTGTGCAATTACTACTATAGGGTCGGTAGATACTAATATTAGAGCTTGCATACTATTACTGTAGAGCAGGCCGGGAGATGGTGGGGGGAGGGGGTAGCGATGTGTGCGAGTCGATGTGTGTGTGTAAGTCGATGTGTGCGTGTGTAAGTCGACGTGTGTGTGTAAGTCGACGTGTGTGTGTAAGTCGACGTGTGTGTGTAAGTCGACGTGTGTGTGCGAGTCGATGTGTGCATGTGTAAGTCGACGTGTGTGTGTAAGTCGACGTGTGTGTGTAAGTCGACGTGTGTGTGCGAGTCGATGTGTGCATGTGTAAGTCGACGTGTGTGTGTAAGTCGACGTGTGTGTGTAAGTCGACGTGTGTGTGCGAGTCGATGTGTGCGTGTAAGTTGATGTGTGTGTGCGAGTCGATATGCGTGTATGTTAGTCGATATGTGTGCGTGTAGGTCGATGTGTGTGTGAGTCTATGTATGTGTGTGTGAGTCGATGTGTGTGTGTGTGTAGTTGGAGGCAGTCGCCCTCCAACAACAACGGAGGGCGGAGAAGCGACGCTCACAACAATGACCGGAGCACCGGGTGGCTAAAGCACAGCAAGTTGGCACAGTAGGGGGCATAGGTGGTGCATCAGCCAGTCGTCTCAGTCAGTCGACCTGTGGCATGCCAGCGGGCGTTCGATACTTCACGTGGCCTCAAGGTGCACATAGCCCGGGAACAAGCGTCGTGGTAATGCTCGTCACCACTTAGTGGCGAATGGCGATTGTTCTTGTTGTTTGTGTCGGTCTATGTGTGTGTGTGTAAGTCAATGTCTGTGTGTGTGAATCCATATGTGTGTGTAAGTCGATGTGTTTGTGTGTGTGGGTCGATGTCTGTGTGTGTAAGTCGATGTGTGTCTTTTTCGCCCGGGCAACGGCGGGTACTTCCCGCTAGTGATTGTATACAGTACAGGTATTGCATATGTGTACTATTAGAATATAAAAAATTGGTCAACAATTTAAATAAACATTTTCAAATTTATGTGGGGGCAATGATGATGTATTAATCGGTTGCAAAAGATTGCACTGCACCATGGATTTACTGAACATTTAAATATGAACGCATCTGAAAAAGTTGTGCAGAAACAGTGGGCAAGTTTATTTTATAGAGAGAGGCAATCCGGCATAGGAAAATATTGAGCTTGCACTTGAACATGGGGGAGAGTCAAGACAGAATATATTAGAACAAATGAGACAATTACAAATAAGGAACAAACAAGACGAAACAAATAAACTGAATTCAATCATGACTCCCATTTATGACAATTCAATGCATTTCAGTGGTGGTGAATTAATACATGCCTTCGTATTACCTGTAGCTACCACTCAGCGAGGAGGACTGAATACCTACGCACCTGAGAAAAATACCATCCATAGAGGGGCAGCCACTTCAGTCCATCCTTGAGCACATAGCGCACATGCCCCAGGGCATTCTGCCTCACTGCCAGCATGTCTGCCACAACCCAATCAACTGTGCAGGGAAACAGAACACATGGACGCAATTAACTCCAGCATTACATCTGGAAAACGCATTTTCATAAAACTTTATTTAGTGCATTTTAGTATTCAAAAGAAGTTAGTGTCTTCTCACTCAAGTAAAGATTTGAACAACACCCATTCCCACTGGCAGCACAGAGCCAGTGGTGGAAATTCTATATTCCCAAGGTGAGAGGACCAGTCTGCCCATGGGGCAACAACTGCTGAATTCTTATGAAGAAGTTTTCATGCTATTGATTAGAGATATGAAGGACTGCAATAAGGCCTCACCACATCGTGTTGATGGTGGCATAAGTAATCTGAAAATACTTCACCACACTGATCAGTGCGATCGATGAAGGTATATTTGTACAAAATAAAAAAATATTCAAAAAGTGAAATTCTTCAAAAACTATAGTTGAAAATAATTAACGTATTAAGTACAATTAAGTAGGACATTGTCAGACGAACCTGTGCTCTGGTGATTGGACAGGTAAATCACATTTTCCTTTTCAGAAGGTAGATCTCCATAGAGGACGACCTATGGCAAAATAAACAATGCACAGTCGGTAAACATTCAGATGACTGTAGTGGCCGTTGCGATATTGCCACAGCTTGCCACAAAACACTGAACGTAAATTTACACAACACCTTCATCTAACCATGCCCTGTGGTTTCAGCGCAGGCCTAACGCAAGCAAAGTCGATCGCAAACGTTATTATTGTACTGTAGAGATTACCGTCAAAGTTTCGCTTCACCATTCATTACACGTATGGCCGATGAAAAAATCATATTTTCAAAAGCTGTACTGGACAGTACTATTAGTATAACGTGTACAATATACAACTAAACCTGCAAATCGCGCAATGTTGAATGCTGTTAACATTGTTTTCATTGTTTCCATAGTTCAGAACAGATGCCTTTCAGTGGGCCGATGTAGAAATCACTCAACATCTTAGCGCGGTTGACCTTGCCTCAACCATTCACACTGAACGCATGACAACATCCGTAATTCACCCCAGACTCCGACAACTAGTGGAACCCATTGCACAAACCACCTTCGGCAATGTTTGTGCTGTTTTAAAAAGCGACCCAGTGGAAGGTGTTCAGGCACCTGGTCACAACAGCCCTTGGCCGAGGTCGCTGCCAGGGTTAAATGTTTAAGGTGCAGCAGTGGGCCTCCACCATGACCCTGTGGAAACCCATAGCACGGACAGAAGTCATCAATCGACCAAGCCGAGGCCGGCATTGCTTTGGTGTCTATATTCTGTATTGAAAGAGACGCGGTCCGCCACAGAGCACCCGCAATGTCACCCAAACCTGAACGCAAACCCCGCAGTCACCGAGCCCAGCCTCCCCGGCCGAACCCGCGGGCAGTGGGGCGGCAGTGAGTGGGGGGCCAAGTCGAGGCGCCTGCCGGCCCCCCTCGCTGCTCACCTCCAGCCCCGTGTAGTTCTCGAAGAAGAGCAGCACCAGGCTCTGGTAGAGGTCGTAGAGGCGGTCGTCCAGGCGCCGCCGCAGCCGGCCGGGCGCCAGCAGCAGCAGGGCGCGCCCCGCCGCCCAGCACAGCACGTAGGCCGGGGCCGAGCCCAGCATCACGGCCGCCGGGGCCAAGTAGCGCAGCGAGTGCGTGTGGACCACCACGGACAGCAGCATGGCCGGGCGGCGGGACGCGACGACGAGACGGGGAGACGGGGAAGACAGCGGGGGGAGCGGGGAGCCGATGACAACCGGACGAGACAAGGGGGTGAAGGGAGGAGGAAGCTCGTGGGTCCTCTCGAGGAGACGAGAACAGGCGGAGCAGGAGGAGACAGACCGCCGGGAGACGCCGGCATACGCAGAGGCAGTGAGAACAGAGGAGAGAGTGACAAGATCACAGACACGGAGGGAAGGGAACACAGAGACACGTGGAGACGGCCACTGCTGCAGAGGGAAGCGGGCAAGAAGGGGCGAGGGGGCAGCGGCAGACGGGGAGACTGATACACCGAGACACGAGGAGACAGATGACGACACGAGGAGACAGATGACGACAAGACGACAGGGAGACGCGGGGAGGCCGCAATGCTCCTCACTCACACAGGCGCGGCCATGGTGACCCGGTGACCCCGCCTCTACGGCAGAGCGCGGCACCCAAAGCCGCGAGAGGGCGATTTGCAAACGCGAAACACGTGCTCAGAGCACAGCGAGTCGGTGCGACGCGCCACCGCGCAACACGTGTTTACGTTGGACACGATCACGCAAGGCTTGGCCCATCATCACCATAATCATCCGTCAGAGGCCGACACGATAGCACCACTGAAGTCAGTCGTGATCATCTACGGAGAGACTCTGCCCCGCCAGGAAAATGTAGAATTTCTGCAGCTGGGATAAATTCCACACTGGTCCTTATATTTGAGAAGACACGTTGACACGTTTTGAATATTTAATACAGTACTGCATTGCACAGGTCTTGCAATGTTTATGTGTTTAATAATCACGTGTATCCCATATCAACATCCCCGTGTACGCGACGCGTCTCATTGGTTCCCATTGGGTTTAAAGCTCTGTTAACGCCGCTGCAATGCAGTTTCTTCACAGTTTTCTGGATTGTTTAAGTTTTAGGCTGGATAACAGAACACGCACACTTTTAAAGTATGTTTTTGTTCCCTGTTATGTTTATTTGAGTCTTATTTGACTATATTATGCACAACTCATGTATGACACATGTAAATTGAGAGTTAAAAAAAATGATGTTGAAAGTCAAACTACCAAATGTTATTTAACGTATCCAGTGTTTTACTTTATGATGAACAGGCCACGTGTCACCGTGCCAGGGGTAACGCTGTGGATGAGTGTTTCATCACTGCTCATTGTGAAAGGGAATCCATGGCTGGCTTTGATATTGCCACAGATTGTGTTTCTTAATCATGTTGGGCTTTTGATGTCAATCAGACTGGGACTGTATTTCACCAAATTGTCATCTTTGAGACCATTTTGAATTTAAATCAACTGTCTTCAGATCGAAAAATACGTATTGGCCAAAATGTTAGCATATTTTCTCACCGCTGCTAATGCAGTCCCTTAATTTAAATACCTTTGGGATTTATGACTAATGCTGGCAGTTTATAAAAATCGGCGCCAAAGCTGTGTAAATGCTATTTCCCCGGTACAGTATATAACAATGTGAAATGACTACTGGCTTCAAAGATCACAGGGTTAAAACAGTACGATCCTTCTTACGTGTAGAATTATTTAATGTTTAATATAATGGAAGTACAAACATCAAGGTTTAAAAAACATAAATCTTGAAAGTCTCCATAATTATTCATGATGTGACCGCAAGGTCTTCACCGTCGTGTCTCGAGCCGCATTAAATGCACGTCGTGTAGCAGTGTGCGTGATCAAGCGCCAGGTGGGGCCCGTGCACTGACGAATGTCAGCGATGCAGCCTTTGGCCACTGTTGGGGAGGGTGCTGACATCAAAGTTGGAATTTGTGAATCATCTTTGCGGTCGGTGACAAAGGTGAAGAGCTGCAGCCAGATGACGGAAGACCGTTAAAGCAGACAAGTCAGGTGTTAGTCCGTGCAAAACAATATGTGTATGATATTAAAGCAAGTGTCATTGTGGGATGATGGTGTCAGGGTCACAGTAAGACGCCTTGAATAAAGTGTGGGGCATTTTCTGGGGAAGTGGGACATGGGATTGGCCAAGGGTATCAAGAGGGGAAAAGTTTTGAATACGGGATTATGAGGTGAAAGACGGTTAGGGGCAATTCAGGAAGACATTAAGGGATTGGTGGAGAAGAAAATGAGCAGACAGCACCTTTTGGAAGGTTCGAAAAGAGACGGGGGGAGAGAGGATACAAAGGGAGCCGTGGCGAGAGCACGAGACCTTTGGCAATGAAGTTGTCTACAAGTGCGTGTGTGGTGCGGCGAGTTAAAGTGCCTTACCCAAGAGACGACTTTTGTGGACTCCCTTTCATTTGGTGGCAGTGATGCCGAAAGGGTCCTTGGATGTGTGGGAGGAAAGAGAGACGTCGGCCGCCTTGAGCAGGCCAGTCGTGAAGACCACTCTCCTAGCGGTCATCCCCCTATAACTAATTCCGGTGTCGACTGGGGCCTCACAGCCTCAGCTGTGGGAGAAGGGGGACCGGCGAATGGGACAGTCACTCTGCTGTGCATCTTCTTGGTTCTTTCGGTGACTTGGGACTTTACCGAAAGAACCAAGAAGATGAATCCCTGCAGTCACGAAAGCTTTAAATCGAAAAATCTGCTGTGCATGTTTTTTTTCCTATGTTGTGTAGTTACCTCTTTTATTTACGTCATTTTGTCAGAATGCTCGTATGTGCTCTGTGTCCTCATTTCTCTTTGAGGTTGCATTAGATCTGGCTGAGGAACACACACCATGCATTTCGATGTAGCTAAGAGACACCCACGACCTGTGTCAATGTGGTTAAGAGTTGGCCTTGCGTGGGTCAATGTCAATGGAAAGTATAAAATTGTTAAACGCCGAGGACAGGTTATTCTTCAGAAGAGAAGGGTGATGTGGGGATTGTGTAATGACATCTTACATCATTAATTCATTCACTACGGCTGGGGCACGGCCAGGGGGGGGCAGAAAGCAAAGTATTGGCTGAGGACTTAGTAGAGGTGGCGACAGAAACGAGAGAGGGGGGACAGAGGTGGAGAAAGAGACCAAGGGACAGGGTTGGTGGAAAGGAGGAGATTGATAAGAACTTTCTGGCTGTGGAATTTTGAAAGTGAAACATTGAGCTTTAAACATTGCACGTGAAAGCACTTGTAGCGTGCACATTAATCAAATGGACGTGAAAATAAGACTCGTTTGGAGAGCCTTGTTCACAGCTTAAATGCTCAATATAGTGTAAGGGCTGCATGAACTACACACACACATTTGGGGAGAAACAAACCATAGGCAGTACGGGCTAATGCACTACCATGTGCATGGTTGACAGGCGTCCTGTAATGCAAGGTCAAAGTTCTTCCATGAAACATTTCTGTTTTCAATTAGTCCAGCAGCCTCATTGGCTTTGATAGGCAGGGTAACAACATAAAACCACGGAATTCAAAACCCTCTGCCATCCTAGCCTTCATTTTACGGTACATACATGTGAGTGCACATTTACCAAGAGGACCAAATATTTGCGTGCACAGTCATTACAAACGGTTCATCAGCTGCTGGTATACATTAAAGTCTCCTTGACATTTTAGAACAGCAAAGAACTCAGAAGAGAAAGGAATTATGTCATTGCAAACGTAATCTCCACGAGAAAGTGAATCATCAACTTAATGACTTTGGGGTGTGTTCTTACAATCCTGCGAGGGGCATTACATGCAGGCATTGCACAGTCCTCCACACTGGGTTGTAGGAGATACGTGACCTTTTGACCTTGCCTTGTCTTGTCAAGTCTCCCTGGCCAGATGATGTGGGACGACGCTCAAGTCCATTGGCAGCCCTTAGCCAGCAGTAAAAATTCCTAATTTTACCATACTTTGGTAGAGCTGGCCTCAAATACAGCAAGTTTGGTATGTGAAAACAAAGTGTATATGCAAACATTGCCTCTGTCATAATATAGTTACAATTCTGTTTTCTTTCGAACGTTTTCGCCATTTTCAATGCATTATTTAAAGTTTTGACATCCATTTCATAAATGTTCTATATTTACTGAGTTGGTTGGTATCAACCTAGGAGCCAGTAAAGCTGTCCTCAACCCAACTCACAATTGCATGACATGAAAGTTGGCACTCGGCAGCATGATCGTCTTAACTTTGATCTCGAATGCATCCAATTGTATTTTATTTGGTTTAGTTATATTGTCTTTAAATACTCTGTTGTATTTTTTTAGTATAGCTATTATATTACCTTATATCAGTAGTTGTACCTGTTTCTGCTTTTAAAATTGTTGTTGGCCATTATTTTCCCATAACCCCGGGCAATAAACTCCATGCAATGGCCATCTGTTAATTTTAGGTGCAGCCTGCACAAATTCACTGTTGCTTTATTGATTTGCTTGTTCATCCATACACAGATTCCAGTTAGCCCATGATTGGCAGGGTGATATACACATATTTGCTCACAAGACTTGAAGCCCGGGCGAGTTTTAACCAATGTGGAACATGGACACGTCATTCACAGATACATATATATAATACACATGCATACTTAAAAAAAAAATTCAATTAAATTGTCCGACGGAATTGTAATGCCAATGACAGGACTAAGCTACCAAATACAAAATCAAAAGAGAGATTGTCCTCACGAGCTCATTTAGATGCTTAAACCTCTCTGTGCGGATGTTCCCACGGTAGTTCGCAATGCGTTCCAGTGTGGACCTGCCATCTGGATTTATCTCTTTTAAATATATAAAAGTATCAAAACAGTAGCAGGCCTTAATCCCACAAAATCCTTGCAACTCACTCGGGATTAGAAAAGCGATGAATAATTGCCCTAATTCAACCAGAACAGAAGTATGAAAAAATAAAATGTATCATCTACCCATTATATACTGCCTGGCTATCCATACATAGCAGCTTAAGCAAATTTATAGTGAAATGTATGCCGCTGAACGTTAATCATCGTTATTCACTGACTCCTGGTGAGTGAAAGTAAGCCTACGGCAAGCGTGAATAAAGCAATTTTCTTTAACATCCTGAAGTAACAGAGTGCGTATTCATCTGCGACTACACATGTTTATAAGTGGATGGAGATTCCCTTTATTTTTTCAAATGTCCAGAATTCCCGAAGCTCACTAGTGTCAACAACATTCTGTAGGCATTGGAAGTGGAATGCACACAAGCTGACATGTTCCAGAATCCCAGCACTAGGGCTGTTGACCTGAACCTTCTTACGAGTTCAGAGTTTTGTTGGCGCGGGGCGGGGAGGGCGGTCAGTGTAATGGGGTTACTAACTGGCCTTTCATGCTCTTTATGTGCTGCATTAAATCTACTGCCTGACAGGTTACATTTCATTGCACACATCAGCAGCGTAACAAAGTGAAGTCCCGAGGGAAACTCAATTGCCCACTTCGTCCTCTTACAGGGTGGTGCCCTGTTGGCAATTCTAAAATAATTAACAATATACAGTTGTGGGCCCTTTTCAAATGTTGCATATGGGTTACAACACAAACGCACAAAACCATAACGTGAATCAATTAAAGAGAAATAAAAAAAACACTATTACTCTTGGCTCAGGTACCCAGGAACGGCTTGTGGCAGGTTGCTCTCATGATGTGGAGACATTGGATTAATTTAACCGAGTGCCAGCACCTTGGGACGGACGTGACCCTCGAGATGGTAATCGCATGCGAACACTCGGCAAAATACAGATAAGCAACGGGGTTTAATGTAAACCCAACACCAAATCATATTCCTCTGGAATTAATCACACAGATGGAAGCAATTTTTTTTAATCCAAATCCTAAAAAATAAATGTTCGCTAATGCCTTCAGAGGGTCATTATTAGTTACAAGTGGGGTGACCCTGGACAGCGGTGGATCAGGGGACAGCCAGCGCTGACATTTTTAGAGTATTATTACAGCAACAACTCCATTGTTTGTTTTTCAGAGCTTTAATGGTTCATCAATTGTGGCGTATACGCCGACACACATTTACGCCAAACTGTTTCTTGCTCAAAAAAGTAGTTCACATCTCCACTGACAGCAGTGCTGGAATTTCCATGTTCATATACCGGGGCCAGTGTTTCTGTTAGACAAACACTGTCAACATTCCTCATGGTAGTTTCTATTTCATCTCTCTCAGAGGGATGATGGTTAAGCTACCGCTGACCGGGATTTGAACTCACGCACTTCCACTTGCCTGGTACCGTCCTGAACATTGCCACTATTCCTGCTTAAAAATGGCGAATTTAAAAACGAATGAAAAGATGAATCACGTCGTCCACGCAGCCATTGCAACGTATAACCTATCCCATGTTCAATCACAGATTATCCATTTATTATGCAATAACATTATTACATGATATAAAACAAACACTGGCCTTATTCAATTGGTCGATTTTAAAGGATAAGGGCCATCTAGTCTTGATTACAATTCAGTTAAATAGAGACTTTAAAAAAGCAAACATACACAGAGATGGGTACATCAAAATAACCCTAAGCGCGGGGCCAATGGGTTGTGCACACTTTTTTAAAATTTTCAATGTGTGAATACAGATGTGAAGGAAGCATGTTGTTTGCTTACCTATTTTGTTGTTGTTCTAAATACACTTTCAAGAAAGCATCGACTCTTGTTACACTCGCAATGCTCACACAACAACAAAGCGAGCTCATGAGACACATCTCTGTGGAATTTGTAACCATCCTGACGGCACTGCTCATGGCTACGCAGGGCCCACGACGGGAGCGTGATCATCAGTACACACGTGACACAAGTGCGTAGCCATATTCACAATTTACTACCCTACCAATATCAAATACGAGCCAACATTCACACTGATACCCATTCACTGCTGTGCAAGACGCAATGCTGAGTAATCTTGTAAAATAGCACAAGTCCATTTATGGGACTCAAACTTCAATCGAGGACCAATCTCTCTTTAGGAACACTCATTTCTCACAAAGTGGTCCTTGTTTTAGTGACCCTAAAAGGGATTTGTTGTACCCTAACCCACATTTGAACAACTTTTCAATTGTAAGTAAAGTACTTTAATCACAGAGCTAGAGGCCGAATATACATAGAAGCATGGCTAATGCCAACACATCAATATTTTTAATTAATGTGTATTCATATTAATTTTGGATTTGAGCCCACTGAAGTGTTTTGTCTCACTAAAGCAAGGTTCCATAATGATGCAAACTTAGCTTCAATACAAACACAAGCATCGTTTGGATTTTTATACATTGCACACATCAACCTCAGCCTTTACACGACCTCTTCTCTTCTGCTGGCTGTTATTCCTTTCATTCCCAAAGCAAAAGCATAAAACAACGGAAATGAACAAAAAGTGGCCAAACAAAACCAAATTCGCAAGACATGTAAATGCATTATTTGTTTTGCTTCTCAAAGAGCGCATTCCATTTTCACAGTGCTCATTCTCTCCAGCTGAACCTCGGAGAGTGCGGACGTTGTTAGAAAGCTGATTGCGTTATTTGCCATCTGCAACGTGGTATTTGATAGTCGTCCACATAGAACAATACTCCTAATAATCCTTTGCTTGCATTTATGCAATTAACCAATGTGTCTATTGGCAGGATTTTCACGTGCGAGATGGCCTGTGATTTACACATGTGTTCAAATAGCCATGGCACTTCATGAATTAGGCACACATATTCATTAGCTGAACACATACGTTTTTGCAGCCAATATGATTCATAATTGATTTTGGGTTAGGTCCCACATGAATCATGTTCATTAAAATACAATGTGGCACTTGTATACTTGTAAGCCTCCATTGGCAAACAAGACTGATGGCAGACATTTTTTTTAAGCGAGAGAATAAATAGTGTATTTTAATTTAAATAATTGTATTAGCTTTATTTTAACATAGGTGGGATTACCATGCTATACGTGAATGTCAAGCCCCTTAAAATACACTCAAAGGTGGAGAAATTGTAATCCTTCTTGTGGCAATAACACAGCGATCGATCGCAGCGATCAACATGAAATCTCTCAGCCCTGTTGCACGTGAGACATAGCGATAGGTTTAGAAAGAGAATAAAAGCGCTTATTAATCTAGCTGGCCAGGGGTATTGACAATTGTAAATGTGTGTTTAATACTCCACCCATCATCATTTTTTAAGGAGTCGATACATTAATACCATTTTGTGGGAAGTTAGCAGTGGTCATCTTGTGAAGAGATTGGCTCCCATCATGGGTGTGTAAATATACAACACGTCGTCCCAATGATCATATGAGCAAGAAGACACTGGGACTTGACTGTGGCCCGGATAATAAGATGCACATGACCACGTATCTGGTTGAGAGGCGTCTGGTGTTAGCGGCGACTGCGATCAGCAATAGGATCGATGCGGTCCTGGCACCACGGTTAATCAGAAGGCACGGAGACTCCACGACAAGAGGCATCCACCAAACAGAATACAATGGCTTTGGAAAATCAAGCGGTGAAAACGAAATAATTGGAAGAAAAAAATCCGCACAGGTTTGTGTCGTGTGGCTTTAATCCGGCTGAGGCCCTGGCCGCCAGCGGGAGGGAGCGAGGGAGCGAGCGTGCAGCCGGGTGCTTTGAGAACATCTGGACGTGGGTCGGTGCTGCAACCTCGCCCGCGCTGACGGCACCAAACCCGCGGTTTAATTACACCCTTTCCAGAGGGAAATTCTCCGGCCTCCGTATATTCAGTCATCTTTAATGAGAATGGCGGAAAAAGCCCCATCATGCGCCACTTGTGCACGTTGGTACTTGACACAATTGAACAGTATCGGTTTACAACACTCGCAGCACTGGAGCGTCATGACTTGAAAAGAACTACCGTTGCATATGATGATTGTTTTGCACTTGGATAATGCTTAAACAGTGATATTGTTGCTTCCAGTTTTAACAATTACATTTTTTACTCTTTTGGTCTTTCGGTAAAGTCACGTAGAGAGAAAAATCATAAAATTATACAAAATCACGACATTTCGATCGCAACACAAGCAATTGTCTTCAGGTGAAAAAATTACAGGAGGCGGACTGCTGAGGCAGGAAGACATATTTTATTATTAGTCTATCTACGTGACTCTACACAAAGACCCAAAGGGAATTAATTCCTGCAGTCACGAAAGCTTTAAGTCAAGATTTAATGACATTTTTTATTTTACTCAAAAAATACATACGTTCAAGATTTGGTTTAAGATAATAGCGAAAATGTATGCATGTATTTTGAACTTCTTTTGCAGTGTACGTAGCCAACCGTGATAATCCGAGGTGCGGAAAGAGAAGTGTGGAATACTTTTTAGTTTCAAATATATTTTATTTTTAATCTAAGGTGTCATACAAGTTCAGTTATAAAAACTATTCAACTCCCTTGACCTGCCTTTTTTGCAAACCATTATTTAGAGGAAAAATAAGCTGACCTCTTAAGTTTGAAAATAAAAACCGGATTGTATAAATCTAGTACAAATAATAGGTGCAAGTTGTTAATGTAACAATTAGTACAGCCTCAGTGGGATCATGAGACACAACACATATGGCTAAAATGAGAATTGTTCTTAAAAACAGTACGAAAAAGCATTTATTTTGCATGCTCAAGAGACACAGTGACATTGGGAATGCTTAAAATCTTTAGTATAAAATGTTATTAAAATATTAACACATTAAAAATATCGCATGGCAATGACAATTACCGAGTGTGATCCTTGCACTTTGTAGCAATTCACCATTGCAATGACGCAATGCATCGTGACGTCATTCAGGATGGCAGTTCATGTCAAGAATCGAGTATGTTTTGTTCCGGGCATCTCGTTTGTATTGTTTATCAAAGTTCAAGTGTTGCTTCTTGAGCACAATTATACAATTTGTGAAATCCACCTGGAGAACGAGTGAGTAGCGGCCGGAGTTGTGGTAATTGAGCAAAAGTATCCACGCTGGGAATGAGAGAATGTGAAGCTGCAGGGACACTAGTCCTGTTACACTAATTTCCCTCGTGTGCTTCAGCTAAGGTACCAAACTCAGATGTATTTTGCGGTTCCCCCGGTGCCTTACCGGCAAACTGCAATTATATTATTATGCTGAAAAACTAAAGTTATGGCGATAATGAGCGTAGGAAACGTGCTCTTTTATGTACAACAAATTGAAAATTACAACCATTAAAAACTACATTTTTGTACACTTTGAATTGTGTACAAACACACTCGAAAACACACTTGATGCTCCGCACGAGTCAGGGGTTACGGAAGGCCAAGCAAGGCCTGATCGGGGACCAACCGCTACCACTCCCCATGTCTTGTGTTGTAATGTGTTTGTCCTGTTTTGTGTTAAATTGGACCCGGCTGTGCCTGTAGCTATACACACCGCCGCACGCCACGACTACCGTGCCATTAAAATGTTAACGTAGATCAGTTATGCTTTCTGACAAAATACGTATTTCACAAACCAGAGTGGTACTCTCACTGGTGCAGTTGCCGTGCGCTGACTTTACATGGATGCTCAGACTCAGTATGCGCTGCCTTGCCAAGTTACGTGTGTCTATGTATTGCTGTTGTGTCTGCGTGCGGCTTTTGCATGCAACATCTGGCTGCTGTCCAGCAGCATTTGTTTATGAAATGGAGAAGTCAAGTGGCGCAGGGTTTACTTTGTTTACACAAATACTACTGGGAAACGGTCATCCGGAAGTTTGATTGGTCGTCGTATTCAAGGCTACTTTTTTTCGATGGTAAAACAGACGCCTTCCCTGTGTACTTCGTCGTGTGTTGGCAAGGTCACCCGAGGTCCGACTGATGGACGTGCAGAGCAGAGACAGCAGCAAGGGCAACACTTGGCTGGTGATGTGCAGACTCCACTATTTGTCAGAGATCGTCCGGCCGATAACCTTCCATGGGCCGCACTTCGTTGTATGTGATGCAATCTGGAAGACGACACATTTAACTTGTTTTAGTTAATATGAACATTGATGAATAAAGCAATATTGCAAATGGACCAACAGTCATTGCTTAACATTCTAGATGGGTCGCACTGCGAGCAAGTGCCTTACTCGCACTAGGAAAATCGCGATTACAAATCACAGGTTGACACCACATCGTCCTTTTGAGGTTGATAAAGTAGGTATAACTTTTTGAGAAGTCAACGGCATCTTCCTGCCGTAGATACACCGGCTCACAGCGAGTAAATGTAATTTTTTTATGACTGCTTCCATGTCTGGCAAAACGACCAAAACTACTCTTATGCCACGGTGACTAGATGTGTTGGAATAGGTGTTCATACCCACACTTCACCCCACCACACGTTGCCTGCCGATCGACGAACTGTGATCAACCCATTCATACTGCTGGATGGACCATTGTTACAGCTGCCACTTTGGACGATGGAGTGCTCACCATCAACCCACTATGGCTGCTCGATACCGGTACGTATAAAAGTGAAATACGTGTTCAATAGCACAGGCTAAACATTACCATTCCACACCTCCAAAACGAGTCCTGACACTCATTGAAGTTTTCCTGGATAAATAAAGGACATTAAAACAATAAAGAACTTTTGTACTAAATCCAAATTCTAACTGTGTGTCATTTTTCACAGTCAAAGGAATGTGTAAGACTGTTACGACTTAATAATATTTTGAGGTCCATAATGCTTAACTTGTGACTTTCCATGTATGCTCGACGTGCAATAAAAAGGTTATTTTTCGCCGTGAAAGGCCTGAGTGTTAGCTATTAAAGACACCCCAGAGGCTGCGTAGCCCCGTGCAGCTGTGCTCTCAGTGATATTCTTACACATCCAGCGAAATTAAATGAGTGTAAATGCGAAATAGTTTTCACCTTAGACTATGTGTTACCAGTGTTGGTTGTAGGGTACGTGACAGCATGGAAAAATGGAAAAAGCAATTCCCCGCTTGCTGTGTTGCCAGTGAGGGCCGGGCGAGAGCGAGGGCCTCCGCGTCGCAGCGTGGCGGCGCTCCCCATGCACAGAGCACGCCGCACCATTTGAGCCACGGCCACAGCAGTGGATGTGGTACACGACGACTACCTTGCGAATTGACCAGGTGTAATTAGAACTATGGTCAATGGAAATTACGACGACTAATGCCGAAGTGGAGAAAGGTATAAAACGCCAGAGCATGTAACTTGGTTCTTCGTTTGTAAATCTTGAAAAACACAAACAAAGATTTTTAACAAGCTCTTTGTGAGCATATAAGCCTGGCACACTCGGCACTCATTTAAGGGAAAGTTCCCTTCTTGAGCACCTATGAAGACTGGACGGCACACGAAGGGGTGGTGTGGCCAGCACTACACCCAGCCACCTTTGTTTCCCCAATACTGATGTTTACACACCACACCAGGTACTAATTTAAGGCTGAGTAGACCTAAGGGAGGCCTAGGACAGGTTCAGATATTAATCATTGATGTTGGCAGTGAGCTGGAAGTGAACTCGGGCCGCCAGACACACAAGTAGATGCACACACAAACGGAGCTAATTCCTCATTCGCACTCATTTTCCCATTTCGAACCGTCACTACTCTCCAGCGCACATGTGGCATGCATATTTCTTTGTGAGCCCTCCTCACGCGGGCTATCAGAAGTCGGCGAGGCCGTGCGCATGGCGGCGAGCGTGTGGCAGCCATAATTACGTTCCGCAGAGCTCCGATCGCGCTGCTGCTGCTGCTGCGGCTGCTGCCGCCGCTGCTGCTGCCGCCGACCCGGCGACGGCGCTTGAGTGGCACCGCCAGGGCCCACCGCGCCCCCTCGGCCGGAACGGCGCACATGAACCGTGGAGAGCGCCGCTCTCTCCTGACCCGTGCCAGCGAGTGGCACACCGCAATTTATTAACGAGTTCTCAAGAGGGAAGGAATAAATAAATAATGAGCTCCCACCCCGGCCCCACAACCCCGGCCCCCTCACCAGAAATGAACGGGCAGCACTTGGGCGCGAGCTGCACAGCTGGCGAGCGTGTGTCGGTGATCCTCTGGCAGGGTAAATGCTCGTGTCGATAAATGTCAGATTAGACTGTGCGGCCCCCACCCCACATCATTGGTGGGGGGGAGGCACGGAGGAGACGGGAGGGCACGTGTTGTGGAAGAGCCATACCTCTTTGTCTTGACTATAAAAAGGGTGAATTACATCTAATTGCTGCGATCATTTTACAACCAATTTGTATTGCCCAGCACACCTCAAGGTGTAATTTCTGGTGTTGCACTCATGTTAAATCCAAAGGCAAGAGATCACCAACATCACACCAATCATAATGACTGGATAGATAGTTATATTATGTAAAGAATTACATAAGTGAAATACATAATTTTTTTGTAATGTTGCAATATAATCTGCTCATATAAATATTGTAAAACAAAAAGAGCAATATAAATGCACGTGGATGAAGCAATGATGGATGATTCAATTCCATGATTGATTACAACTGGTTACGGTGACAAGGCTAACACTTGGAAACTGGACTCAAATTTCTGGAAATAACTTTGCGTTAAACTTAAACATTTCAGCAGGCTCATAAACAACATTAAGTGTGAATTGGCGGCCAAGCAACGGAGAGGCAGAGTAAGCGGCGCAGCCCCCGCGGCGTCCCATAAGTCTGCTCGCCGTCAGTTCCCTTTCTACGCCGCGTGAATTTTTTGCGCCAGTGTGTCCTGCTGCCTGGGTGGAGTGGCGAGCCACAAGGGCCTCTGTGCTCCCACCTGGGACAGCAGGTGCTTTAGGCAGGGCCGAGGACCCACCCATCTCAGAGTTAAACCATCACCGCTGCGGCACGGCGATTCGGCCGGCATGTCCTCGGAGAACGTGCGTCACGAAAATACATCTCAAAATGAAAGCTGTCCGGTAGGATAGAGCACGAGGTAGGGCACTTAGCAAGTACCACTGAGAGGCTGGGTTTGTATCTGGGTAGCGACACGTGGTTAAACTGAGTTATAAAACGTAGCGATTTGACCGTCTAAGTCCAGCTACCAATGACTGCACAGCACACACTTGGTCATATTAAATGTGCGTTGTCACCCAAGTAGGCATGCTCCTGCTCTATGTATTAGATACCGCAGAAGGATTAAAATGTGAATGTGTACCCGAGGATGGATAAAGATGCCGACTGAAGGGACTTTAAAAGCAGCTCTGAGGCCATCACGATACGAGGTAGTGCTCTAAGATGAATGAAACTGCGAGACACAAAGGCCAGCATCGCCTCTGGGTTACCTGGGTTACATCAAGACAATGAAACACACAAAATATGTAAATCCCTTAAATGTAACAAATCTGGATGAGATCGTCTTCATCTCGTGATGCGGTGCCAATAAGCACAACCAGAATATCATTTGTAGAAATAAAAACTCCCTGAGGAAGTGGAAAAAGCAAGCGGCGAGCGAATGGCGAGCGAGCGAGCGAGCAATGTGCACGGCGTCTACGGGCGGTGGAAGGCAGGCGTGAGAAGCGCCACTGCCGCCAGTCGCTCTGCACGGCCATTCCCACGCACGCCGCACGGCTGGAATTACAAACGGCACAGTTTTCAACTGCGCGAGGAGCGCGAATCTATTAAATGCACCCCATTTCAATAGAACAGTGCTCTGCATGGAGATATTTAGCATCATGCCAAAATAAATTTTGTGCGTCGGCTCGCCATGTGTAAATTATTTTACACATTCATCAATTTTAAAGGCTATTGTTTTCACAGCACATTGTGATCACTAACTATTGTTTAGAGTTGTGTAATTTTTAATTAGATACTATCTTGCCTGATGGATGAATATAAACAGGAATGGAGAAGCGTTTAGGAGTAAGACATTTAGATGATGAATACATAAAACAACACCACTGGAGCATATTCGATGACAAATAGCCATCGCCGTGTATCTGTACAGGGAAACAAAGATTGTGCCAAGAGGTTTCGTGCTGAAACAAAAAGGCCAAACACTGCAAGATACGGCGGAAGAAGCCTCCGAGGCACAGAACTGAAGTTGAGTTGGAATTGATGAGTAGTGATAGGTGATTTATTTTGTTTCCAATAGACCTAAGGGAGTTGCCAAAAACACCCTCTGCAAGTTTGCTGTCACGTGGTACAACAGCTCACATGAACTTTATTTGCTGACTCAGGCACGTGTGGAAATGTGTCAGCTTTAACCAGTCAGGGGTAGTCTCATTGTCTGATATAAAACATTCAAAAACTATCCAAAATGCATTAACAGATGTCACTACAAATGTGCAATTAGTGAGCATGTCTCTCTCCCAAGATAAACACAATATTACATTTCAATGTCACACACTGATAGGTTCCTGGATTAGCCAATGATTGATTCCATCACAACTACTTGTTGAGCAAGTGAAAAATCCCCCATATCAAAGATAGGATACGGAACATATATCCTAAGACACATTTTATAGAATAGTGAAAAAGTATCGAGCAGCTCGACAGATAATTTTAAATGAAAAGTAATTAATTTACAAAAAAGTTGAGGCACAGCCCTACAATTGCTTGCTGGTGGGAGGGCCTCCACGACCGCGAGCTCCCGAGGGTGTTTCCCTCCTCTTCCACGTTGATCAGATGCGTTGAGAGAGGTGGGCGTACCCACACTTAACCCCACCGCATGCAAAACTGTACCTATTTATTCTGCTGGGTCCAGATGGGGAGGGGATTTGAGAACGTTTTAAATAAATCGTTGAAAATTGTGATTTGTGGCTACTCAAGAACAACACACACACTTGTGTTGTGCTGTGGTATGCACCTGAGGCATTGCTAAAGGTAGTGTGTAGCCCTGCAGTCGCTTCTAACTAACGTGTTCTCTCCAGTACAGAAGAGGGAAACAACATTGCACTTTAACAGGCAATGGTGATGTGGAGCAACTCGGTTGTGGGAGCGTGCGCATGTACAAGCATTGCACATATGGTTGACTTTACCACCTCTACTCCCTTGCCATTCACAAGGGGCATTCTTTCACGATTTTTTTTATCAACTGCATACACAGACCTCTTGCACCTGAGAAGGACGCACACCCAAACATCTCTCAAAGTGAGGGCAACCACATGGCAGAGATCCTGCTTCCATTTTTCAGGAATTTTTTTTCCTGCAGGCAGGCAGGATGTGTGCCAGACCATACCTCTGGGAGCCCTGGCGTGCCAGTGCGAGGTGGCAGCATGCCTCCTGTGCCGAGGCCTGGCCCTGCTTGACCAGAACACACAGAGCCCTCTTCTTCCTCTTAATCAGCTCCCATCCATCTCCTCATCAGCAATGATGGATCTGAATGAAGTCCCTCCCATGCCATCTGTTGTCTGCCAATTTCACAGCTTCGTTCGAGCACTCGACCAAGGCTCCTTGACATTTGTGCATGCCGTCCGATAGATCAAGGTGAGCTCATCCGCCCTCAGAGGGACTTTTCTCCATTAAGGGGTCCGCATCCCTCCCTCAGGTGCTCATCTGCCCGAGGCCGCTGGCACTTCCTGAGGGCTGCCAAGTTAAGTTTCCGCCGCTTGGCTTTACAAATCGCAGGTCATCACGGTAACGGATTCTGAATTTGAATTGATACTGAGCTAGAGGATGCACAGTGTGGAGCTGAACTATTCCTCAATGCAAGTTGTGCACTTTGTGGGTTGTATCTTAACATCTATCGTGAGACTGTGGACTTTGAAACACTATTCCAAATGCAGTTAGTTTCTATATAATTTAGTGGTCATATCGTGGATGGCCATGCGCACTCGTATTGGCACACCGCTCACCCACACACACAGACCATGCACAGGTGCCTCACGCGTGCGGGTCCGGATTTGCTGAGTAACCAAATCAATTGGCAAATTTTCCCATCACGTGACAACCTGAATTTATTGGCTCTGTCGGGTGGCAGAGGGTATCACTGAAATTTTCATTGTACCCACGCGATGATCTCACCTCAGAATAACTAATTATGAATTGATATTCGTCGTGAAATTCTACGGATATAACTAACTGTCTACCCTGCTCCCCATCCCTTTGACGAGGTGTTCCTACTTTAGCCAACAGCGACAGTAAGGACAACTCAGACTGATGATGACTATGAAACATGTGACTCGTTATTTAAAAGACTGCTGTGCCCCAACCTCTTCTAAAGTCACGTAGTGTTTTAGGTGAAGATGTAAACCTTTTATTAACGTCAAATGAAAATATAAAAGAAAGTCATATGTGATGTAGATGCGTTCATTCACATATTTAAAGAGCTAGGCTGATGAGGCAGACACATCACGTTGAATTGTGAATATATCAAATGCAACTTGTTTTGTGTTCATTAGACGTCACCCTTAATGCCGCAGACTCGGATTTCAAAAGTCATAATGACAAACACCACTTCATGGTAAAATCATAATTTTCATAAAAAGATTTCCAATCATAGGTGAGAACCCGCCAGGCTGTGCTTGCAGACGATTGCTAAGTGCATTCCTAAAGCTCACAAGGGGTCATATCAGCAGTGACCCCAAGTAGGGGACAGGGCACGGTTATCACTGAACGCAAGGTGCCAAGTGGAATTGGCTGATCCAGAGGACATGTGCTTTGTGAGCTTGATCTCGGACATGCTGACTTGATAGCAGAACAAGTGTCGGCCTTCATAGGCAGCTCGACAGAACCTGGTACCTCCCGTAGCCTAAAACTCAAAAGGCATTATTATTCTCAACGGAACTCATCTCCAGTAGCAGCCCTGAGCCGGTCGGGTAAATTGCACATGCGCAGGACAGGTGTCAGTCTCTCTGTATGAGGACCACTGTTGACGTCCCCTGAAGATGATTGGCTCAGCTGAAGACTTACACAATGTACTCAATCCACAAAAACAGAAACTCCACAAACACGTTATGTCAGTTATGGCAGAAACAAGTAAATAGATGATCATTTTCCCAAATTCTAAATTACGACTGTATAAAAACTGTTGTTGTGAACATAAAACCATCAATACTTCAGCAGGATATTAAGTTTTATTCTTTGGTTCGTTCGGTAAAGTCACGTAGATAGAAAAATAAAAATACTAATGTAGACTATATATTCTTGGTTATTTCGGTAAAGTCATGTAGGTGTGAGCCAACAGTGTTAAAACAATGATCAGCCACGGCCGAGGTATTGGTCCTACCGTGTTTCAGATCTGCCTTGTGTTCACGAACACAGTCCGAGACATGTCGTTTAGTTTCCCCAATGTAGCTGCTGCCGCAGACACAGCCTAGTTTGTAGACGCCGGGGTATTGCATGTCAGGGATCACATCCTTCACAGATGGGATCAGATCACGAATGTACTGTGTTGAATTGAACCTGGATCTTGTGTTTGTTCATGATTTTGGAAATATTTTTGGTAACCCCTGCTATGTATGGCATGGTGATAGTTCTGATTGGGTCCTCAGATGTTCTCTCTCCAAAGTAGGGGTGACAGCTTTACGGATTGTGCGGTCTGAATATCCATTCATCTTGAGGGCTTGCTGTACGTGCTCCAGTTCACTGGCTAGGTGGTGCTGGTCGGAGATGCAACGGGCCCGATGGTGTAGGGTTTTGTGTAATATGTTCATGGTGTAGGGTTTTGTGTAATATGTTAATGGTGTAGGGTTTTGTGTAATATGTTCATGGTGTAGGGTTTTGTGTAATATGTTCATGGTGTAGGGTTTTGTGTAATATGTTCATGGTGTAGGGTTTTGTGTAATATGTTCATGGTGTAGGGTTTTGTGTAATATGTTCATGGTGTAGGGTTTTGTGTAATATGTTCATGGTGTAGGGTTTTGTGTAATATGTGCATGGTGTGGGGTTTTGTGTAATATGTTAATGGTGTAGGGTTTTGTGTAATATGTTCATGGTGTAGGGTTTTGTGTAATATGTTCATGGTGTAGGGTTTTGTGTAATATGTTCATGGTGTAGGGTTTTGTGTAATATGTTCATGGTGTAGGGTTTTGTGTAATATGTTCATGGTGTAGGGTTTTGTGTAATATGTTCATGGTGTAGGGTTTTGTGTAATATGTGCATGGTGTGGGGTTTTGTGTAATATGTTCATGGTGTAGGGTTTTGTGTAATATGTTCATGGTGTAGGGTTTTGTGTAATATGTTCATGGTGTAGGGTTTTGTGTAATATGTTCATGGTGTAGGGTTTTGTGTAATATGTTCATGGTGTAGGGTTTTGTGTAATATGTGCATGGTGTAGGGTTTTGTGTAATATGTTCATGGTGTAGGGTTTTGTGTAATATGTTCATGGTGTAGGGTTTTGTGTAATATGTTCATGGTGTAGGGTTTTGTGTAATATGTTCATGGTGTAGGGTTTTGTGTAATATGTGCATGGTGTAGGGTTTTGTGTAATATGTTCATGGTGTAGGGTTTTGTGTAATATGTTCATGGTGTAGGGTTTTGTGTAATATGTTCATGGTGTAGGGTTTTGTGTAATATGTTCATGGTGTAGGGTTTTGTGTAATATGTTCATGGTGTAGGGTTTCGTGTAATATGTGCATGGTGTGGGGTTTTGTGTAATATGTTCATGGTGTAGGGTTTTGTGTAATATGTTCATGGTGTAGGGTTTTGTGTAATATGTTCATGGTGTAGGGTTTTGTGTAATATGTTCATGGTGTAGGGTTTTGTGTAATATGTTCATGGTGTAGGGTTTTGTGTAATATGTGCATGGTGTAGGGTTTTGTGTAATATGTTCATGGTGTAGGGTTTTGTGTAATATGTTCATGGTGTAGGGTTTTGTGTAATATGTTCATGGTGTAGGGTTTTGTGTAATATGTGCATGGTGTAGGGTTTTGTGTAATATGTTCATGGTGTAGGGTTTTGTGTAATATGTTCATGGTGTAGGGTTTTGTGTAATATGTTCATGGTGTAGGGTTTTGTGTAATATGTTCATGGTGTAGGGTTTTGTGTAATATGTGCATGGTGTAGGGTTTTGTGTAATATGTTCATGGTGTAGGGTTTTGTGTAATATGTTCATGGTGTAGGGTTTTGTGTAATATGTTCATGGTGTAGGGTTTTGTGTAATATGTTCACGGCAATACCAAAACGTAAACTCCGCAGCTGTGGCGGAGCGTTTGAGTGTGCAGGCTGTGCACCTGCGCCGGGGCCCAAAGGCAGGAGGGACCCAGGCGCCGGCTGCAATCGGGAGGACAACGGAGAGGGCGGTGCCAGTCGTTCCTGGCATCGGGACCCGTGCCGACGACGCACCGCCACTGCCTCGGAACATTACACCACCGGAGACCCACGTGGGAAGCCACGTGGGAAACAGGTCGCGTTCCGCCGTCTCCACTCACCGAGGAGCCACTTCTCACTGACGGCCTGCAGGGCCGCCCTCCTCCTGCCCACTGGGTAATTCCCGACGTAGATGCCGGCCTGGCGCAGCGTGTGGGTGGCGCAGCCGCCGCTCAGGGTGATCAGCTGGTGCAGGACGGCGGGCGGAGGGACACTCCGAGGACTCACGAACACGGGCGGCGTGGTCGCGAACAGGCAGCTCGCCTTGCCCACGCGGCACTCCTGCCTGCGCACCTGAGCCGCAACGACAAAGCAACGGGACTTATGTAACGCCAACTTACTAAAGCACCTAAACAGTCGCACGTGACAAAGCATTGATTCAGTGAGGAAAATTTATGATAATACCGATGACACACGCATCGAATCACACGCACGACCACCGAGTGCATTCGATTTCTATATCTTGTATGTAATGGTGTCATGGAAACCCTGCAGAAATTAAAGATCTTACATTCACCACAGCAGCAACAACAACAATGTTATGATTACTCAATCAAATTGTGACCCACAATGGTGACAATACAGCAAGTGTTAATTTAGGTGCCTCTGGAACATGCAATGCAATAAAAAAGGCTTCCAGAAAAATCTACTTACAACCCAACCAACTTAACAAAAAGTCAGAAATATAAATATCTATACAAATTGTGGGTTTCATTTTTATATTAATAATTTCAATGTATAAAGCACCCTTAAACATTTTTCTCAAGGCATAACTGAGACAGACTGTTACTTTGCTCCCACAACAGTCTCTCTATAAGGTAACCACTACCAGCGCTGGGCCAATTCTTCAACCACATCAATTCCATACACCCAGCCATCAAATTCAACATGGAGGTGGAAAAGGATGGCAAGTTACCATTCTTGGATGTTTTAATCGAAAAGAAACCAGATGGCTCAATGGGACACTCTGCCTACAGGAAAACCACCCACACGCATGCCTACCTAAAAACTGATTCCCACCACCATCCAACCCAGAAGAATTCCCTCATCAAAACTCTACATTATAGAGCTCGTTGTATTTCCGACCATTACCACCTCGCCAGTGAACTGGAGCACGTACACCAAGCCCTCAAGATGAATGGATATTCGGACCGCACAATCCGCAAAGCTGTCACCCCAACCGTGGCGAAAAATAACATCTGAGGACCCAATCAAAACCATCACCTTGCCAAAATCATGAGCAAACACAAGATGCAGGTTCGATTCAACACAGTACATAAAATTCGTGATCTGATTCCATCTGTGAAGGATGTGATCTCTGCCATGTTATACCCCAGTGTCTACAAACTAAGCTGTGTCTGTGGCAGTAGTTACATTGGGGAAACTAAGCGACATGTCTCGGACCGTGTTCGTGAACACAAGGCAGATCTGAAACACGGTAGGACCAATACCTCGGCCATGGCTGATCATTGTTTGAACGCTGTGATCACACGACATTGATTTGCCAAGACGAAGGAACTCTGCAAACCCACTGGCTATCAACAAAGATTCGTTCATGAAGCCATTCAGATTTATAAACACGGACACAATTTCAACCGAGAATATCGGTACAAACTGAGCAATTATTGGAAGGATGTTATTAACCAGTTTAAGTCATAACTGGCTGTGATGTTTCCATCCTACCTGCCGATGTGAGCAGTTATTTCCGACTCTCAGAGTTACATTATCAGGTTAAATGTTTTTACATTAACAGACTAAATGTCTCACTAACACAGCCACCGTTGTGCTGGTTCTCTTACATTGACATGCTAATCTTACATTAACAGGCTAAATGTCTCACTAACACAGCCACCGTTGCGGTGGTTCTCTTACATTGACATGCTAATCTTACATTAACAGACTAAATGTCTCACTAACACAGCCACCGTTGCGGTGGTTCTCTTACATTGACATGCTAATCTCTCACAATACAATGGCCACCTCCACAGCTTCATAGTAGTGGAGGTAGCTCAGCTCTCCGATCTTACATTTACACGCAAATTACATCTCTAGCCCCGCCCACTTACCCCTGGGCTACACCCATCTCAAACCTTTATAACATCCTGCCTCAGCAGCTCTCCCGCTATAGTTTTTCACCTGATGACGATTGCTTGTGTTGCGATCGAAACGTCGTGATATTTTTTATTTTTTATAATCTTTCTATCTACGTGGCTTCACCGAAAGACCCAAAGAATAAGGTAACCACTGTTGAATCCCCTGAAGAGTGGTACTGATGGTATCAACCCCAGAGAGATGAGAGGCTGAGTCAATCACCGACAGGGATGTTAATATGGTGTTGTCTGTTTAACGCGTAGGCTTGGCACTCCAACACACCCGTTGTGCTGTACGGGTGATGAATTGGCACGTTCTGTTTACGTGACAACTCTCACTAGTTGGCTGTGTCGGGTGGTGGCGGGTTTTAACGACACAACAGTTATATATTTTCGTGGCGATCTAACCCAAGAAACCTCTATTATGGATGGTGTTGTCTCATTACAAGCGAGCGCGGAGCTCTGACCGCTGACAGCACCGAATCGCTGGCACAGAGCAGAGCGAATTCACGGTTCAAGGAACGAGTGGCACACACCGGGACCTGGCGGAGGGCACGGGAACGAAAGTGCAGCATCAACTTGCGATGGGCATTAAAGGACACCATGCATACGAGCCACATGAAAACAAACTCCCCACAAATGAATGTATGTATGAACTTATTTCGCACCGTACGAAACTAACAGGCTGCGTGTGAACATATTGCTACATGAAGCCAAAGCATTTGGCATGTTAATCACAGGGGCATAGAAATGAAAGGGCATATTTATTACACACATCTGCGCTGAGCACGGACTGCAATTAAACACTCGGCAATACCTGAAGAAACATGAACGCAAGACTTTGCGTTATTTCCTAATTTACATTCCTGTTCAAATCCATTTTAAAAGTTATCTGCTTCATACTGAAACGGCGCTAACAGCAAATGTTTTGCTTGAGCTCTTTTAAATAGGATTCTGACAAATGTATAAAGAGCGATCTGAAAGGGAATTTATAATTTTCCCTTGTTTGTCATCTCAGTTTCAAACAAAGTCTCTTCTGTATAACAAATGATAGCCAACGTTTTATTTCAAGCATTCAGCAAACAAATCGTTATATTTTATATGCTTGTGTTCCAAAGAGAATTGTAGTTAGCTCACACAGTCATATATGTTGATAGTCTCGTGCATTGTAAAATATTGCGTGTGATTTTAAAGAGCAACGGGGCACTTATTTTTCATTTGAAATATTAATATTTTTGTGAACCACCGTTATGACCACACAGATAGTGTTGCAGATCAAGTACAGATACTCTTCAATACAGCACATAGACAATATGTGAGAGTGTGCCCATAATGAATCATCACTCAATGCCAGGGTCTTCTGGACTATGGCCTGGGCAGTGTGTTTTTTTCCTACAGAGTCCAATTGGACGCATGCCCATCAATGAGGCTAAACCAGCTCGAATAATAAGGGACCTAAAAAAGGATGGAAACATAACTACTGTACACAACTTATTTACACACGGTGTGCAAGATGCTGCTGAACGTAATGCACTGAAGCTCACAGAAAAGGTGACAGCCCCTCGCTGTGTTTACAGTGTCGTAAATTGTACCACAACTCCAGCGGGGATGGGGGATGTCATTAGACGCTCTTGTTATCAGCTCATGCAAGTACATGCAGTACTTCACGCTTCTAATACCCGTGGAGACAGAGCGAGATGAGGTGATTCGGACAGCAGTGGCCATGCGCCGGTGGTGAGCGTGCACACGGGCTCCAGGGACACCACCAGATGCAGCTAAACCTTCTCACGTGGCAGCGCAGAGTGTGATGCACTATTCATTAAGGCTACACCGATGCAATATGACCATCATCATCAGGCATTATCTATACACTGTTGGATGAAGGCCTTCTGACATAATCATTCTTTACAGTCCTGTGATGCCACAGGATCACTTGTGCACCGGAGATGATCGCACCGCTCCATCCTCGCAGTGGCTGTCCTCTTGGGCGTGGGTCACCCTTGCAACAGAGGGAAAGCTTTTCGTGTCTCATTAGGCCTATAACTTTATATTCTGGTTAAATAAAGGATCAACACCAGCCATCCATCCAGTGGCTCGTATCCCTTCTAGAGACTTGTTTGGTCCAAACCCAATTACTTTTCTTCGGAGTAAATGCAATGTTTAGTCGCTGTTTGTTCTCTGATCCAAGTGTTCCTGTTTCTGTCTCTAAGTGCAATTCCCAGCTTGTATCTTTCCACGCCATTGTGTGCGCTTTTCAGCTTTTGTTTCATGTTCCTTGTCAGCCTACATGTTCAACAACAAAAACCAGAGCCACAAAGGCTACAAAAATCGACTGGAAGTTGAAAGTGGCTGTCCCATGGATAGACTGGCCCTCGACATACTATTGTGGAATTGCAGCCACTTGCTCAGAGCCGCTAACATAAATAAGAAGAGCCAAATTGTCATTTTAGCACTCGTATATACTGTGCAGAGTATTTGGGCGTTTTACTCAATGTATACTGTGTTTTGAAGCTTAAATAGCTGACATTTTAAACGCCTGCCCCCCAATGAAATGGAAACGAGCAAGAAAAGTTACACTTCACTGGCCGGCGGTGCGGGAGCGTGCTCTTCAGCAGGTGGCATGCAGTGGCAAGTGCTTACCACTGAACCGTCTAAACCCGACATTCACTGCCAGTGCCTGAAGCGATTTCAGTTCCACTGTTGGGTTTCTGTAATTACATTTCAAAGCAGTTGCCAATGTGATTGCCGTGTGGTTGGCATGGATCTCGACAGAAGCATGAACATAACTGGGGCGCTTTTTGTAGCAAGCGCTGTGGGTCATTGCGCACTTTGTTGAGAAAATACCTTCTTGTCATTTCCAGTGTGCTGTGGGAATAGAGCTGTATTTCCATCGGCTCAAAAAGTATTGAAATTCAGCCTTGTATAATGCCTCATAATTGTCTAAACAGAAGCCATGTTTTAGCTCAAACACACTTTACAGCTTGTGTCCAGTATTTTCAAATGTTTTAACGTTTGTTCTTTTATAACTCATAATTAATCAGCCGATCTAAATGTTCAGTACCTCATTACAAAAGTGTATAATTGTACACTTACACGAAGTTTATTTATTGACATAGACTTATCAACCCCAATGGAACATACTTGCAAGGCTCCCAATGAAACTACATTTTGGCTTGAAAAGTCTGACAAACTCTAGCAATGGGA